CAGTGCGGCGGTCCGGAGCTCCCTCCGGGCCCTCGGTGGTCCGCGGAGGTGCTGGGTCAATGGCTGTCGGCTCGTGGCAGGTCCTGCCAAGTGGTGTGCCGTGGCCAGCCCGGGTGGGTCTGGTGGAGCATCTTAGCGGCAGCACCGAGAGAGGTGGGGAGGGAGGAATGTTCTCCAGAGCTTGTGTTTCCAACTTCTTGGAGACCCTGTCAGCAGCTGCTGGGCATCACGCCGAGAGCCGTACCGCCGCACCTAGGGCACTCTGCTCAGATGTGCCCTGGGTGCGGCCCCCTTGGCTTGGCCAGGGTGGCTCTGAGCTGGTGAGGAAGTTTGTGTCTCCGGCCAAGAGGATGGCTAGGTTGGGGTCCTCTCACCATCATGCAAAGCCCAGTGTGGCAAGGATGGCATAGACCGTGCGCTGTCACCGTGGAAGGAATGTGGCTCTACTGGCCTGCTCGAAGGCTGGGAGTTATCTGGCAGTACCCTTGCGCTTGAGTATATTCCACTAGTCCTCTATTACAGTAGTGTATTTGAGTCTTGTGTGGAAAATAAAAACTATCCAGAAGGAGGTTAGTATGTTCAGTGCCTTACATGAAAATAAGGTGCAAAGTAACACACATCTGAAGGATATGAATGATAGCATATGTCATCAGTTTCTATAAACAGCCATACTAACTTTCTTTGACAGAAATAGTTAGATTGGCTAAAAAAAAAATTCTTAAGAGTGGCTTATATTACAACAAAGAGGTTGGCGCTTGCTAAATGACAGCAATGCTGACTATGTTTTTGCAGGCTTACACTTCAGCTTCTCCAGCACTTAAAAACACTTAAAAACAAATGCATTTCTTTCCCATGTAAAATACAAACCAGATGCTCTTATAGTGTTAACTGAGTCTAAAATAACCTGAAAAGCAGCTGGTTCTCTCTAGCCAGTGTGGGAGTGAGGTAGGAACCTGCACAGTGCCTTTTCCTCTGCAACATTCACTTCCCTGTGGAATTTTAAGAAAAACAACCAAACTTTTCACTGCCTCCTTCTGCATTTTTATCACTGTCCCAAAGTCCTGTGAGACCCAAACACAGGACCAGGCATACATGTAATATTTGAATGTCTACAGTCATTGTCTGGTCTGTGGACTTGTTCTTCTACCTCAACTGTACTGAACAGGATTCTATATAGCACTTGTTACTGGGAGACCTCAAAGCATGGGCATCATTTCTGTTACTTGATTGTGCAGCTGGTGAAACACAGGGAAGTGGTGTGACTTGTACCACCTCATTAGGCAGAACCATAGCAGCAGACCCAGGTCTTTTGAGTCCTAAATCGAGTGTCTAAGCAACGCCACTCCAAACGCGCAATGCCTCATGAATTTACATGTCATCCCTGCATGTCTTCAGTCCTTTTCTCTATACAACAGGCAACGGGTGGGTTTACCTAGATTTACGTAGCTCATCAGTAGGGGACTCCGCGTTCGCTGTGGACAAAGACGGCCTAGGTAGCTCTGAGTAGTGGTGTTGCATATCACTTTTTGTACTGTTGTCCCCACTGATTTGCTTTCTATTACAAATTCAAGATAGCTTAGTGTGTTGAATTACAATTCCCCCACCATACATTCAAAACTGAACTAGGAACAGAGAGGAGGAGTCTTGTCTCTCCTAAGGTGTCCTAAGTAAAAAAAAGTCTACTGATGTTATAAACATTAGTGTTGAGGTGCTGTATAGTCCTGTACTATTCTCTGTATCTCTCTCAACCATCTACTCTTTATTGCTTTTCTGTAGTGCCTCCTTGTAAGAATCACAAAGCACTTTACGAACACCAAACTGACGCTGTCTGAATTTTTCATAAGATGGCTATTACCAATTAAGCAGAGGTTTACTGGTAGAATATTTCTTCCTGTTTTGTTTAGTTTGTGCATTTGATCATGCTTAGTACATAATCAGTTTCATAGGTTTCTGAGTATATAGGAAGGACCTTTCCTATAACCATGGAAAAATTATTCCCCAGTGAACACACCTACAAAAAGATGGGCAAGAACGTCAGACTGACTGCGAGTGCTCAGACACTGATTATTAATTCCCTTCTTTTTCTTGATGAGTGTGTTTCTCATTGCACGTACAGAGAGACGCACTTCAAAACAGGCATCACAGTATTAAAGTGACTTTTAGGAAGCCAGTGAAAGGTAGAGTCAGCTTTAGAAGTACCTTTAAGTCCTTATTTTGAATTGGCTGTGTTCAAACTTAGCACTGAGAACTATGAGCAGCAATCCAATTGAGCCAAGGTATGCTGGACCTAGTGGGTCTACAGCAAAAACAGCAAAACAAAGTAGCTGAATGATTTGCCTATAGTTATTGTGCAGTGTCTGTATTAGAACTGATGTGCAAAGTCAGGTCCCCGGACTTCTAAACCTATGTCTTAATAGCTGCCTGTAGGTTTCTTATTCCGTAATAATGCTAGTATTTACTTCAGGTACTAGTGTGTTTCTAATTTCACCTCATATCTGTTTTGTCACTAATATCTCAGGATACATGTAGTAAGAACAGCTACAGTTTAAAGAAATATGTGTGCAGACCCTGCACATATACTGCACTTAACAGTTTGAGGAGATTCATCTCTCAAAATTTAGAATTCTATGCTACAGAGACTTATACCTACGTAATTAATATTCTTTAATAGTGTTTATGTCTCTAAATTGATTAGAGGACAACTCTCCTGACCTATTTTAGGTGTGTTTCATAGCTAATCATACAGCCTGTTCGAAAAATACCTGCTTTTCTCCTTTCCCTAAAAAGGCCATTTACACGACATGCTCAGATGCAAATGTGTGTAGTACAGAGCTCTGAAGTTAGGCTAATGAATTCTACCCTCTCTTTCTCCTTGACAGGTGCAGGTCTTCAAAAGCATTTAATGCAAAGAAAATAGTATGGTTCTCTGTCTTCCTAGAGAAGAGATACTCGTACTGTAGAAATAAGTGTCGTAAGAGCCACTGCTGTACTTTTGCTTTCTTAACTGTTTTGGATGGGAAGCAGCTTTTGTGAGCAGTGGTAACCAACGTTTTGGAGTCTTCACTCCCTGGCGATGGACTGAGCTGACACATGCGTTACAGCCTAAAAGCAATAATGTAATAATGTACTGCCCCCCCTTGCTGGCATTCAAAGTTTCTGCCCTTCTGACTGTGAGGAAAACCCTCTGAATGCAAGGGGCGGGGGCGACTGCTGCCTAGCTAGCATTGCTGAGATGTCTCAGCTCCTGTTACAAAGGTTTCTCCCCCTCAGAGAGAGCTATGCTGCCTAGAGCCTAGTCAAGCAAGAAGTCTATGAGCAAGTGGCAGAAGCAGGGCTGCTGGCCCGCAGAGGGTTTGAAGGTTCTGTGTGCTGCAGGAGCTGCCTGGAGCAAGACGAGGCCGTATGTGAGCTATCTGAATGGTCACTTAAAGGGACACTGCTAATCTGAAAATTTCCCTGCTGTTTGAAAATGTCTGCTCTGCTGTTATAAGTAACATGTAAGATTATTACCACAGAAAACGATTAGAAGATGGGGAGAAAACCCTCTTTCTTCCCTTGCCTGTTTTTGCTACGCTTAGAAACACTTTGTGCAGTCAGTTGTGCTGCTTCACCTAAAAGACAGGCAATTTGTCCTTTTTTCCTATGGAAGAAAAGCTTTCAATTTTATATAGGAGAATGTGATAGTGAAACATGACTTGGCAGGGAGTGCCTAAGCTACTCAGGGTTTGAAGGCTATGTTTCAAATCAAAAGTCTAATTTTAAAGAAAATAATGTATTTCTTTGAAGTATGTTTTAAGAAATAAATATAAATCATGTATGTTCCGCCCTCAGTGTAAAAGCTCCAGACCTCCCAGGGCTTCCAGTCTTTCCTGCATGTCAATGGACAGCAGACTCCCTTGGTGCTTCTGGGTAAAAAAAAGGGAAAAATCTCTCTCTTCAGTCTCTTCAATTCTATGCCTAAAACATACACTGGATGTGTTTTGACATCCATACCCACAATGGTCCACAAAGAGTAGTAGTGGAACAACTACAGATATTTGAGCTCAACATTGCAAATCACCGTGCTGATGCAAAGAAATGATTGTGATTTCAGGGAGAATTTATAAACCTCTTCTGCCTGAATATTGTCATTGCAGAAAATAGTCATCATTAACCAGAGGCCTGAAGCAACCAGTATTCTATGTTGTGCATGGAAAAGTCTATGGAATGCTACTGAAAACCCTGGATGTCTACTTATTATTAGGTAAAAGCTGCCTTAGGTCCTCAGATGCCGACATTCTAGTCTGCGTAATAGTGACAGTGAGGTTCAATGAATGATGTGACTCTTCAGCATCATGGGGAAATCAGCAATGTGCAGTTCTGTCTTAGTCAATGCAAGTAAATGCCCACCAAGTCAGTATTAACTGTTGCAGGTTCCTTTCCTATCTTGTGTAACCTGCTGGAAGATGTTATGCTAGCAAAAGCTGGAAAGCTTTCATAAGCTTTCAAGAGCCAGAATTCATTGTGAAAGCACAAGCCTCTAGTAGATCTTCCATTTTGTGGGGGGAAAAAAAAAAAACCCAACATCCCACCCTACGAGGAAAGGAATTTTTTGTTTCCTCCATGACCGTTTATACACAGAGTCATTGGATCCTCTGTCAGTTACGTAAATGGCAAATGTTCATAGTTCTGTACCTTTCTGTTACTGTACTCAGACCCAGGCCCACAAAGACAGTTAGGTTTTGCCATGCCTTCAGGTTAGGCACCCAGCTCCAGGAGTGGAAATGACAGTCTGGTTGAGGTGCCTGAGTTTACTCAACTCTCCTTTACTAGGTGGTATCCCAAAAGGGACTGACTGCAGGGAGGAGCTGAACAGAATGACAATGGAAGGGAACAGTTCTTGCAGCAGTCCAGAGAGGTGGGAATTCCAGATTTTTCTTTGGTAGGGGAACACACTTTTTACTGGAATATACTCCTCTTCCCTTTGGCCTGTACGTTTTGGTCCCATGAATCCTTTATCCCTTGCCCGGTGGCCCAGCTTCAATGGGAGGGGTGGGGAATGGCAGAGGACAGTCTAGAATACAGTTTTTCCACTAACTGGCGAGGTGTCTAACCATTACGTACAAAGCCTGAAGGACTAAACCATCTCCTCTGGTGACAGTTTACGTTCACCCAGAAAAAAGTCTAAAAGTTCTGCTTTGTGCTGACCTTGGGACGAAGGTGATGACGGGATTAAGGTCCTCAAGATGCAAGCGTGCCTAGCTAGGAAATCTGAAATGGGTAGGAGAAGTAAGAATGTCGGCCTTTACTTAGTTTGACTCTTACAGGATAAGGTATTGCATTTCAAGGGTAAGAGGATGGAATTTGCCTTTGTGGCTAAACATTTGCCTCCATTCTGTTTTGAGAATCCTTCACGCACCATGTAGTTAAATAATGGAACTCCTTGACTCCGGACAGAACGGATGCCTAGAAGTTAACACAAGTTTAAAAAGCAAGTGGATAAACCAATTGTGCTAAATGCTTTGAAAACACATAGAGATTAAAATTCTCTGAGCCAAACAATTTATGCTTGAAAGGGATGATACCCATCAGTGAATGTTCCAAGAATAGATGGCTGGGTATCTAAAAACTGTTGCCAGCCAGTACATTAACTGACTTAGTGCTGAGCTGTGAAGACTGGAAACACTGTGTTTCGTGCGATGTGAGTTCATGCGATTGGCCATTATGTTCAGAAAAGATAATATTTCTTAACTTGGATCAGGCTTTCCTATTTCTTCTGTGTTGCGGAGCACATCTGAACACTGTGCAGAAGCTGTGACATACCTAAGAAGCATGATAATTAGGAGAAACATTTACCTTGTTTTCACTCTGTCCGCACACTGTCCTTGCACAGCTTTCCATGGACTGGAGTGGAATGTAAAGCTGTGTTCCTTTGTCCTTCTTTCTGAAAAGGGAAAGCATGTGTGGTATTTGCTTAATTCTTGAAAGTAAGTGAAAGTAACTGAAATGTTTTAAGTTCAGGAATGAGTGTCCAAAAAGGTAGAAATATTGAATAATTCAGGGTGGAAGGGACTTCTGTAAGGCATCTAGTCCAGCTTCCAGCTCGAAGCAGGTGCAACTAGATCATATTGCATAGGGCCTTCTCTGGTCCAGTTTTAAATATCTCCAAGGATGGAGATTCCACATCCTCTCTAGGCAGCCTGTTCTCATGTTCAGCCACCCTCGTGGTGAAAAAAATTTCCTTGTATCTGATTAGAATATTGCAAATGGTGTCCATTGCCTTTTGCCATATCACTGTGCACCTCCAAAGAGAGTCGGGACCTATCTTCTGTATATGCTCCCATTCAGTATTTGAAGAAATGGGCCAGTACAGGCAGCTATGCCAATCTGGCACTTTGGAGAGACACTCTGGAGTGGAACCAAAGCAGTGTAGCAGGTTTCTGGCTGATTTGTTTGTTTATTTTCCACACTGACCTCAAAGATTCACAGAGGTACTTCTTAATTTCTGTAAAACTACCCCCAGGAAGACCACAGAACAGAAGAAAATGCTCTACAGTCTTTAGTCTGTGCATAATGAATAATGAATGCATAATGAACCCAACTGAAAGATTGTAGGTGGCAGAAAGACATAAAAAACACTCTGTAATTGGCCTGGAGAGGATCCCTAGTATGGATGCTGAAAGTGATAGACTAAATCTGCCTCTGGAGGAGGCTGGTCCACTTTGTATACGCTACATAATGGGAAGGAGTCTGCTAAGGCTGTGGGTACTGCTGCAGTCAATAGGGTAGCACAATGGCATTCCATGACACAAGAGCTCTGAGATACACCAAAAGTTTCAATAACCCCTGCAGCAGCTTGGCATCAGGAGGGATGAAAGACGGTTTAAAGCTTCCACAGTACCTGTTCTGTGAACTGTATAATATAGTCAGAATGCTGTAGTTTCAGAATACCCTTCTGGGAAGGGAATCCATTTCATTTGTTCCTTGCAGGAGATTTCCATAAACAGAGATAGTAAAACTTAAAATTCCTGGTATTTCAAACATAAAGAACGAAGGGAAAAATGTAATATCCCAATAACCTGTCCCACCTTCGTTATGCCTCATAAAGAAGGAAAAGTGCCTACCTGCCTTAACCTCCCTTTAGATCTTATAATGCGTACATAGAGCATATCACTGCATCAGTATCTCTTGTGGAGGAGACTGGACCTGGTACTTCTGGCTGAAGCTAAAGTGCTCCATTGCTGCACCCATAGAGAAAGAACAATTTAGGACAAGTACAAGAAGGAAATAAGATACTCTTACCAAGTGATCCCTTCAAAGCAACCCTATTAGAAAAGTACTGGCCTGAGACTTCTATTTTTAGTTAGGAATCACATTTAAAGTCTAATGTTAATCTCTTTTCTTTGTCAGTTAATACCAAACATAATTAATGCTAGGTGTTTATTTTAAAAACCCAACAAACTCTTTGATACTAAGTAATGGTAATCCCAGTCATCTGGTATGACATACAAGCTTTGAACTTTCATTCTTAGCCAAGTTTTTTAAAAGACCAATGTATTTTGGGTTTTGCTACCCTGCTGCTACTGGGCTTTGAAACTTCTAGGGACTTTTCTGCTTGGCTGTTGATTTAAAATCATAGCCTTTTGTCAAAATCTAATAGGATCACTGAAATAATCATGCTATTTCCTTTTCCACGCTGTAATGACACTACTGATAGGCATTAAGAATGCTATTATGTACTTAGTAATGCAGGTGATCTGAAGAGGCAAGAGTATCACTGAATATTCCTGTTGCAACCTCTAAAGGATTTTTAAACTCCACGTCTTTAGCTGCCTTGTTCAAGATATCTGCCAATGTTTTCCACCCTCTTCACAATTAACATATTTTGGAAAGAATGCACATGAATCTTCAAGCTGTATGCACTCAGAACGTTTGCCTACATGCATATATATGCACATACACTTTATTATTCTTTGTCAAATTATCTTTCTAGTTTTAGCAAATCATAAAAATTCTGAAGGTAAATTTGGTCCTTAGCGATTCCCATGAAATCTCTCTCTCTATCCTTATTTGTTCCTTTTTTTCTAACATAAGGAAACCCCCCTAGCATAATGTGTATTTTGATCCATAAGTTAGCCACTTCTGCTTAATACTTATCATTTTGTATCCTCTCAGGTGGAAATCCTTGACTGGAAGACAAAGAAACAGCTATGCTTCCTAGATAAGGTAAAACAAAAATATGTTTAAAATGGTAGGTGACTATTGAAAAATTACTAACTTTTCTTAAGTAAATTCAGTGTTTGCAAAAAGTATTTTATCTCCTGATGGCCTTTCTTTGGCCACTGAAGAGGCAACAACTATGTGTGCTTCTTCATGCTGCCTATAGAGTACAACCCTTTTTCAGAAAGAGCTATTGGGCAAAGAGCTTGACTTCAGCTGCTTCACCAAGGCAGTGCCAGTTGTGCCTTATTTGCTCACAAGCCATGAACCTGTCATTGCTCTTGTACTAATCCTCGATCACTGCTGCTACAGTAGCTGCCTCTGAAACAAGATAATTAAATCTTAAGGGATTAAATCCTCCTCTTTTCCTGTAGGAAGTATTTTGAAACATCCAAAACAACCCTAGCCATCTATAAGAAAGTGAAAAGTATACTGTTAAATTGTCAGGAGTCACATTTCTACTTGAATAGTCTTGAACGGTCATCTTTCAAAATATATCTTACATATATAATATTCTTTGTTGCCTAGGTCGAACCAAATGCCACAATTAGGGAAATCAGATTGATGTTCCATAAATTATGTGAGTATAACTTTTGCAACAGTTCACGTCACAGTAGTGAACTATGTCTATAAATAAGAGGAAAATTTATTACCCAGCATATAAATAAGAGGAAATTACATAGTTTGGAATGTGATGTACACACACATAATGGTAAGTTGTACATGAATGTGATCACAGAAAGATTTCAAATTGTTTTTCTTTGTACTATCCTCATATATCTTTATATTTTTCCTGCTACATAATTTCTCACAATTTCTCACATTCCATGATAAAATAAATAATCCTAAAACTCTTCAGCTAAATCTTATCTTCTTATGATGCATTCGTTATAATAGCTGATAATCTAAAAACAAGTATTGTAAATCACACAATTCTGTATGGTCTTGCAGATCCTCGGTGGTATCCAGCAAGGCAGTCGATAAGACTTGATCCAAGTAAGTACATGTGAGGACTAGAGTAATAAAACTCTGAGCAGGGGCCTGGCATAAAAGGTGTACTTTGCACAGGTATTAGGTCTTAAGAATGAGTTTCCAGCTATGCTAGCATTGTGAAGGCTGAAGAGAATCCAGAACAAATTTCATTCTTTGAAAGTACTGAACAGAGTTCCGCTCAGGTATCTGGTGCTTGTAATTAACTCAGGAGTCTGGACATTGTTCTAATGCACTTGCTAACTACTGAGCTCTTTTGCTTCGAAGACAAGCAGCAGAGAATCTAGATACTGTTTTTCCTTAGCTGCATTGAAGTAATCTCCTCCATGATGCTCAGCTGGGAGTACTAGGAAGGGCTATGAGTTTTAGCTGTCAGTTCACATAATCCTTTGTTCTCAGGCAGGAATTACAGTTCAGTAAGCTAATGCAAAATACATTACCATGGATATAGAACCTGCTGACATAGCTAATGCCAGCTGGCTGACTTGATTAATTTAGGTATAGGTATTGCTAGTAGAAGCCTCTTAGTGCATTGCCTGGGTGCACAAAAGAAAGTCTAGTTGCAAAACTGTTAATTCATCTTAACATTCAGTATAAAGTGTAGTGTTTTCTTTAGTTTTGCTTCTTTTTGGTATAATTTCATTTATACATTCCCTTAAAGTTATGTTGGTGGAGATTAACTCATTGTGTAGACTCTATCCATGAAAAACAGGAGCATGAGTATTCTGTTTCCTTCCACAAATATCTACCTTGTCAGACCCCTCAAGGGGCTTATGTTGTGAGACTTGCTATAAGAAAACCCTGACCTTCTGGGGCTTCACCCACATCCTGGAGTTCAAAGCTTGAGCATCAGCTCAAGCAGCTTAAAGCTAGAACGTGTCTTGTAGGTCAAACTCTTAACATGGGAAGTTAAACAAAGTAAGTGTCTGGAAACATGCTGAGTATATGAGATGTTACAAAGCAGGGAAGGAGAGATCCTCATCTCCATCTTTTCCCAGGTAAAAGCCAAAGTCCTGTGGAATCATCTCATAGTGAGTTGGTTGGAAAAAAAGGAGGAAATAAAAGGCTCTGTAGGGAGGGCCTTCCAATCTCAGCTTATCCCAGCTTTGGTGTGTCTGGTGATGAGCAATGAGAAGAAGGGAAGAGAGGAGAGAGAATGGAGGTGCAGCTAAGAGGTCAGTGAACTATACTAGATGGCAGTTACTCATCAGCAACTTTTGCTGTGGCAGTGAAGAAGCAAGTCTAGTAGGCTAGGCTGGCAGATAGGATTGAGAATTCTCCTAACTGTCTAGGTGTGAATAGAAGATCCAGGCTTATAAGTGATTACTGGGGTAAATCAAAATTAAATACAAACATGTTTAGTTTGTTACTGAGATTCCAGTGAAGCCATGTCAAGCCAAAGAGTCTCTCGGACTGGTTAAAGCACAGTATAAGGCTAAGATGCTACCACAGTTGACTTTAATTTCACTGAGATGTAACTACTTCTTTCCTTCTCAGAAGGAAAGTCCCTGAGGGATGAGGAAATCCTGCAGCACCTCCCTGTTGGCACAACCGCTACCTTATATTTTAAAGATTTAGGGCCACAGATAGGATGGACTATGGTGAGCAATGCTGCAAGTCTGAGACATTTTAATGGATATTTCTCCATTATTAATCCTTACGTCACTTTCTGTCTCCAATATTTCTGCATGATGACTGCTCTAATAGTGGATGCAGGCAATGAATCCTCATCACTTCAGTTCATTTAACCAGGAAAACCAGTAACGATATTTTGAATGCCTAGTCTCCTGGAGAGCAGCAGTGAAAACTTGCTGCAGGGTAGGCTGGCTCTACTGAACTTAGCTGCAGGTTCTCACACGGATTTAGATGTCTAATGCAAAATCACTGGGAACTAGGTGTCTGAATGTCTTTGAGGATCTGGTTCATAGGGTCTATATAACTTCTGACCTCTCCTCTCAAAGATCAGGATTATACTCCTGTGAGTTTTCCCGCAAAGAGGCATGTGAGTGACTTTAGCAGGAAAATGCCTGAACGTAAAATTAGCTGTCCATGTGTGGCTCTGCCCCAGGATGCTAATGGCAGGCTTCTGACAGCTGATCATTTCTGCAGTATTAGCAGCCATCCAAGAACATCACACGCATTTGGTCTCTTAACTCAAAGGCTCACTCCATCACAGCTCACTCAGCAGGTGATACAGCACTACTGCTTATGCAGTGAGGTGACCAGTGACCTTTCAAGGTCTTCAGAAACTCCACAATGCACATACTATCCACTAGTTCTAATTAAACAGCACAGCACGAAGGGAAAGGTATGCAGTAATTTAAAGGCACATTTAGCATTTTTTAGCTCTGTGACACTAATAATATCTTGTGTGTTAATGACAAATAGCAAAGACAATACTAATAAAAGGTAAAACAAAAAAATCGTTATTCTGCAAGACTAAATCCCCAATCATTACTTTAGATGCTCTGCTGATAAAACAGGCAGCTGTTTCACAACAGTAAGAAAAGAAAAAGTTATAAAGACAATGCAGACTCAAGGTGCACATGCATTAATATACACTGAAATATCACAGTGCAGAGTAACACCAGGCAATTTCCACCATTTCATCATCCTTCATTTACACTCTGCTCTCCCTGCCCTTCAAGCTACTTCATTCAAATATAAGCCAAGAAATACTTCAGTTTTATGAAATAAACAAGACAAACAACTTCTCTTCTACCATCAAGTCATACCTTTGCCAGAAAAAAATGCTGATTCTGTTACAAAAGTTGATGTTAATACAACTGTTCTGAGTGTCAAAATAGCTCTAATCACATTAGAAAGCAGTGACACATGCTTTTTTGACAGAAGCACAAAAAACTTCTCTTCTTTCTCCATAACTGAGGTATGGGCCTTCCTTACTCAATTATAGAGGAGGAAAATGAAACCATTACAGCTTGGTCCAAAATCAACCTCAGTTTAAAGTAATGTTCCTAAAGAAATATATTTGAAATGAAATTAAGCTAGATAATAGCTTCCTTTGCTTTTCTCTCTCTCTCTCTCTCTCTCTCTCTCTCTGTCTTTTTATTTTTTAACAGAGATTATTTGAGCATAGAATGAATTGGTCGTTTTCCGGGACAAAATGATGCCAGCTCTGTTTAAGTGCACAGCACATACGTGTTTATCATGCATGTATGTGCTGCTATGTTAACTGTTCATACAAATGATGTCATATGTGAACACTTACAAAACATGTTTCCAGTTTAAACAGAATTCATTCATTAGAAACAAAGTTCCTCTTTTTCAAGATAAATTCCTCACCAAATTTCATTTTAACTCAAAATAAAGCAATAGTTTTTGAGGGCAAGAGCAGGGCGAGAGTTGTGTAAATGTAACATGCATGCACATTTATCATGAGCTCTGGGTTGCCATGATAACCTGTTCTTACCCATATTGTGTCAGCTGCACTGACAATGGCTGTAATTCTACGCAGTTACTGCAAATGCATTGCAAATGATTTAAATGCATGTCTACAAGTTTCATATCCTATTCCCAAACCTGCTGTTCCCTCCTTGCCTCTCCAAATGCCATTCTGGGTCAGTGGAGGTGTTTATCGCACTGCATTACTTACCACAAAGAAACCAAAGTACAACCACCACTGATTCAGCTGTCTAATTATTCTCTCTCTTTTTGCAGGTATTTTTGATAGAATATACAGGTCCATTGTTCATCTATTTTCTGTTTTATTTCCGCATGCCTTTTGTCTATGGCCTGGATGAGAGGTTTACATCAAGCCCACATCCAGTAGTTAAGTAAGTCCGTTTGCAGGCTGAGTAGTATTTCTTGTTAGCATTGTAGTTTTATTCCAAATGTCTTGCCACACTTGTTTTTTTTAAGCATTCTTAAATGCTTTTGTCTTGCTGTTTCTAGCTTGGCATGTATCTGCCATTCTTTCCACTACATCAAAAGGTTGATTGAAACAATATTTGTTCATCGGTTCTCCCATGGGACCATGCCACTGAGGAATATTGTGAAGGTAAACTGTGACAGAATCTATCCATAGCCTCTCATATATCCAGCCTAGCCACCCTATGCTCTGCTGCTGCAGTACAGATTTGTTGGTGTGGCTTTTGTAGTAATGCACAGAAAATCTCACCCATAAATCTGTAGTTCTTTCAAAAGATCTCTTAGAGTAATTTTGCTATTGTATAACCCACGTGTTGCCATGCTGTTTTTCATGTTACAGTTTTCTCATTACTCTTTTACAAAATTTCATACCTTCAGCATTCCCTTCTTTTCACTCAGCTAGCTCCCTGGGTATGAAGTTTCAGTAACAATGTCAACTTTTAAGGTAGCAGAGACAAGTACATTGCTGGGAGGGTTGATTAAAAAAATCTGCTTTTTTATCGCAGTTATTTTACATCTCGCTTCCCCCAACACTATCTTTTCCATTTAGCAACTGTTGATTTACCTTTATTTGCTCCAGCACAAAGCGGCTTGGCTGTTCTGTGTTTTCTTCCTGTGGCTCAGGAGCACACCGTAATGTTTTCAGTGCTGCTGTGGCATAGGGTGGTTGTTAAGATGCAGACCTCCTGTTTCCTAGATGCTTGCAAGGCAGTGCAATAGACTCTGTGGTTGTGTGTGGAATGTGGTTATTTTAAAAATGTTCACAACAGAATTACATATTGTTATTCAAAAATATGTTTTATACTCTGGAAGATAGCAGATTATCATCTACAACTGGAAAAGCACATAGTATAATATCAGCATTTGGGTATTTAACACTTTGTGTTTAGACTGTCCCTTGGAATTTACAATAGGCAGTGATATTCCCAGCAGCTGAAGCTCTACCTTGTGGCTATCTCCTTATAGCTGTGCTGCAGCTCCATAATTCTGGCAACAGCTTCATGCTTTCTGAAAGGAAGGAGGGTCTGTAGCTAAGCAGTGGCCCTCAGAAGGAATCCTCCTAGCAATTTACTGTCAGTGTTTTCTGAAGCAGAGGGATGCACAGGTTGTTAAAAGGGTAGCAGCTCACTTACTACTGTGTCAAAAACAAATCTTTAACTAACGCATGCTAAGCAGCAGATACGTAAAAACAGAGTAACTTTACTTTGAAAAATAATCTGTACAGTGTGATAAATCCTCATTTTTCTCCTGCCATCTCTGACAACTGTTCCCTTCAAACCATACAAACTGTAGTTGCTAAAACTCATTTTTGCCAGTCATTCGGAACACTTCTACTTTTCTGCCTTCTCAGGTTCATGGTACTGGCTTTCATCTGTGAAGTTATTCATAGTTCTTCCTCTCCCTGCTTAGCAGTGCTTGGGTTTGATTCACTTTTATAATTTCATTGATTTCAATGGTGTTACTTCCAAATTGCACCAGTCAGAAAAATATCACACCCTCTTCCCTTTTTAATCTCACATACAGATCGTAGATAAAGCTTCTAACTTTAAGCGTATGATCAAAACATAGCAGATGCATATTGCTTATTTCCCCAGAACAATGAAAAGCTACCTTTAAAAACACTTAAGTAATAAAGACACTTAAGTCTTAGTAAGCAGAGATCTGAGAAAGGAATTGATGAGATTTATGATTTTCACCCTTTGTCTTTGTTTCACCAAAAGGAAATAGGAATAAATAAAAAGATAGTAGAAGATGCAGTAAAATGGAGAATGGGTTCACCAAAAGCAGATCCTGCCAGACTAACATAGTGTCATTCTTTCTAAGATGCACGATTTTTTTAGGCAAAGGTAAGGAGGAATTTTATCTGGATTTATTTTATCTGGACTTTAGTAAAGGGCTGCCTCGGGGTTAGTAAGATATGAATTAATAAAAAAAATTATACGGTGATAAAGGAACTAACTAGAGGAAAGATGACAGTGGTTGTGTCAGAAGAGGTTCTGTGAGATCTTTAGTAACAAGGAAATTACTAGTGGAATTCCTCAAAGACTGGTCTTTTGATGGTCTTATTGAACGTTTTCATGGATAAAAAGAAGAGATATTGTTGCTTTCTATGATCACATCCAGAGGAAGGAAAACACCAGGTCTAAAGATTATTTAAACTAAAACAAGACAAACAGAAGGGTACACACTAGCCATGAGTAAACGTAGGCAGGGCATTAAAAATAGTTTTGATCATCAGAGGAAAGATAAATTGGAAGAGAGAAGACAGAAGTCCCTAGAGATCTATGCAGAGCTTTAAAAGCTTAGCAAGAATTTATATATGGGATCCCTGCAATATGTGAACTTGACGATCTGTGAGAGCTCTTTCTGAAGGAAGGAGGAAGTCACTGTTGTAAGGCTTTGACATGCACCTGCAATATGGAAGATTCATGGAAAAAAATTTCTTTCAAATAGGCTTATAAGTCTGCATGTATTCTGCTGTTCCTACCTGAATCTCACTGGAGGCTTTTATCTGAGCAGTAAGGCTTACAGTGACAGCTGGCCAGTTGTGGTATTACTGCTGGGAACCTTAGCATTGGCAAACTCCGCTCACCTTAAAACTCCTTGTATCTGATGTTCTTGCAATAAATCATGTTCTTTGGATGAACAATACTTGTTCAGTTTAATTACAGCGTGTACTGTTGGGAGCTGAGCCGTGTTTAAAAGACGCTTTACAGAGACCATGTATTTATTTAATTTTACTGCACTAAAATACATTGCCATATGACCCAGTCTGTGGTAAGCCCCAAGCTTATGGAAAGGTTTTTTCATAAAGTGCTATTCCAAGAATAAGGGCCTTTCAGGGCAAAACATGCTTTCATCTAAGTTTGTACAGCAGTCAGTAGATTGTGGGTGATGGTGGAAGAAATTAGCATTAGGGAGAAAGCAATAGTTTGCCGATAGGACACTGACTAAAATGCTTGAGACTGGAGTCCTTCTTCCAAGCAGGCTGCTTTTCCTGGGAAAATGAGAAGGCACTACGAGGAAGTCACTTAATCTCTCTGCTCAAAATTTTGTCCCACCAAATCGGTAATTAATGGTTAATAATTGGTTCTTACTCATCAGTTGTCCATTAATATTTAATCCCAGAACAAGGCTGTACTCTGGATTTGTACTATGCCAAACCCAAAGGGGCGTCCCTTTTGTTTGAGGTCTCTGGGTACTTTGGTGGCTCAGTTAAACATTCTGTTGCATTTCCACCTTCTTTTCAGAACTGATACAACTGCTTGCAGCAGAGGGGGTGGTTACCCCTCACAGCAGCATTTTCAGAAAAATGCACTGTCAGATACTCAGCAGTCAGCTAGTATGGGTTGCAGATGCTGAGGTAATGACTTTTGGGGATATTATTGCTAGAAATGCAACTTTGGTATATACAGGGGAAAAAGGCTGCAAAACTCAAAGCCAGGAAAGTAGCTGAATCAGTTAAGACATGTAGGAATGCAGCATTGGCCAAGTGTTTTGGCTGTGCGGGCAGAAAAGGAAAGCTGCGAAGGAAAAAGCAGAAAGATCTGGAAATGTCTGTGGTATGGGGGCCTATGGAAAGGCCAAGAAAACAGTGTCACCTGGAAGACTGAGAGGATCAGTGTTTTACTCAAGAGTACAGAATAAGAGGGAAAGAATGATAGGAGGAAAAGAACAGAAGCAGCGGTGAAAGGAAGATAAAGAGCTCAGTTTTGGCCTTCCCAAAGTCCAGGTGCGAATCAAACATTCCTTGATTAGAAACTGAGGCACTAGGCTTGGTAAAGGAAGAAATCTCAACTTATGAGAGACAGATTTATGAGTGGCCAGCAGAGGGACAGGGTTAAAGCCTGCCTGTAAAAGAGCACCTACAGGTGAGATTGTAGAGGAAGAAGAGGAACGGGCTAAGAATAGGCCTCCCTCCTACCACAGATAGGTAAGGAGGGAGAAGATAACCTGTCATTAAGATACTGATGAAGTGAGGAGTGTCAGGAGAAAAAACCACAAGCAACAGAACCAGGAAAACCAACCAAGAGGTGGAGACCATTGCTGTAAACAGCTTCTCAATGCATAAAGCCTGAGTTGCTGTAAATAGCTTTTCAACGCATAAAGCCTGAGTACAAACTAGGAGGTTTGGTCAGGAACAGATCACAACAGCCACTAGTGAGAACTGTATTATCACAATTTAGAGAATGGAAGCTGGAGCACAGAAAGTCAAGAACAGCAGCAAAAGGACAAGCTCCCTTGAGGAACTCGTAAAGATATCACATTGAACAGGACAGCGGGAAGAGTCAGGCGTGATGGCTTTAGGGAAGAAAAGTTAAAGCACGGGAAGGAAAGGAAACTGATGGGATGGAGGAGAAGGGGAAAGGCAAGAGACTGGGCACTACAAAGTGATAAGCAGGGAAGAGAACACCGTGCCTAAGTCAGGTTTTATAAAGTCTCTGTGGTTAGCAAAACATGTCAGTCTTTAACATACAGTCTTAGTGGCGCAGCACCTTTGGCCAAATGGTTTGCCAGACAACAGGAATTTATTTTCAATACTAGGATCATACTTTCTAAAACTGTTTACAAACTAAACAGCTCTGAGATACGTGAGAAGAAATCGTTCTCTATAAGCACTACTTCTTTCCTATTTCCTGTTGTCTCCTCCCACTTAATCACACTTAGTGTTGTCATTTTTTGTTGTATTATCTACAACTTAAAGGATCAACCCAAGTGATTATCAGTGGTTCTTGCAGTAAATCCTGGCCTAGCAGATGGCATTGATTTCTCTTGACAAAGGGGATGGTTGAAGTATCCTAACATTGAAAATACTAAAGCCAAGAAAAATTCCCTATTTTTCAGAACTGCCTCTATTACTGGGGATTTGCTGCTTGGCTTGCTTATTACATCAATCATCCTCTTTACACCCCTCCTTGTAAGTAGCAAAACAGCCTCCAACATGATTTAACTCTTTTATCAGTTATATATTAATCCTAATCATCTGTAAATATTTTGTTTTATAGCCTATGGGAAAAAACAGATAAATTTTGCTGTGATCATGTTTCTGGTAGGTCTGTTGCTTTTTTTTATAAGATGTTGAAACACATTTCTTTATTTATTATGTTGTGTAAGTGGAGGAGTGGATAGGATAAGCGGGTACTTAAAACTAGAACAGTTGGACATACTACAGGAGTAGATCACCTGCAAGCAGAACAGATAAATCTGCAAGTTTTTAATATGAAGATTGTGAATGAACCTCTGTTCTAAGACTGGGCTATTTACCTGATGGAATATCTCTCATGGTTTTAAAAACAATCCTGTATCCCTGTCCTGTGTTTAAAAGCCAGTGAGTTTGTTTTGTGAACTCCTTTATTGCTAAAGATCACAAAAGGTCATAGAAGTCAGAGAACTAGCCATCTAAAGAATTATGTTGCTGTTAAACTCCAAGGAAAGAGATTCATTTTGTGGGATTCAGAAGTTTTTTTTTTACAGCTTGCCTAATGAAGTAATATCCTTAAGTCAGTGTCTGTTCATTCTCATAGTGCCTATGACCATTTTATACTTACAGAAGCAACAATAGTTCAGCAACAAAGACGTGCCCATTTTTAACTTGTTTAGAATATCAGCTGTTAACTTGCTTTGAGAAACTAATGATCAGTGACTGGAGAATCTCAAAGCAGCCTCCAACTATGACATTTCCATGAGTTAATAATCTATTCCCATTTTATAAAGAGACTATGTAACTGGAAGTACAGAGCTGGATATAAAACCCAGGAGTGCTGGCCACCAGTCATTTGCTTTAATAATTATGCTTTGCAGACACCAGAGACTGTCTATAATTATATAAATGAGTTATTTCAATATACTTTCCACATAATTGATTGCGGAAGCATTATTTAAAAGCAGTGGAGGAAGTTAGGTCAATTATGTTTTATGATTCATGTCAGTGAATCTCCAGAGAAGAAAACTGTTATTTACCTTGGGATTTTAATAACTTTTGAGAAACCAGAACTGTCCAAATCAAGTTTTCTGGTGTTTTTAAAGACATGAGTATAATCAAAAGATAAAGGAAGTATCCACTGGACCTACTTTTATCCTCTTTGATTTACTACCTTTAGATCTCATGGGGACTGTGTAACAAGTAAGTTTGACCTTTTGGCCACTGAGTCCATTTTTGCTGCCAGGTCTCATAGATACATAGCACAGCATGATATGGCCTCATGTTTGAAGAGATGAACAAAGATACTCTATCCTCTTGTCAGTCAGCAATCTTGGTTAAGGACATTTATTAAGACACTAATTGCTATTATTTGGTCTTGTTTTACAATACACTTCTGTTTTTACTTTTTTTTTTTTTAAAACTATCCCAAGGATCAACAAAGGGAAGATGAGCAAATAGAAGGGAAGCACAATTTTTAACCCTGTCATGCCTTTTCTTGTAGCTGTGTGAAGCTGGAAATTTTTCTATTCATGTTGCCCTCAGCGACCTCCAGAGAGATGGTAAAAACTGCATTACTATTTTTCACTTTTGTGCATCCAGGCATTACTTCCACAGTTACACACCCTCATGAGAGGCCTGATCCTAGAGGGTGCTGATACCTTCTAGATGACTGCTGTGGAAGTATAGGCTGTTCAGCACAGTAAAGATTGGATTCTAGGGGAGATCAGGCAGTGCAATGAATCCAACACCAGGCTGTTGAACACTTCTTATCTTACTGTAAATTTTCCTGGTTAGGGCCAGATTGTGCTGGGGGAGCAGTTATATTATTTACACTGGTAACTAATATACACTGGTAACTAATAACAGTGCAAATGAAACAGGTCTTCCAGTGCTAGTACAAACTATGCTTCAGTGAGCAAGTAAAAGCAATTTGACTGGCTCCTACGGAGGGCCCAACATCTCCGTGCAGGGCAGGGTTTCTTGTGCAGCAGCCAGACATGTTATGTTTAGAAACAGCAACTGCCAAAACCCAATTCTGTGACACTCTGAGAACACTTACAATTTCTGAGGTTTACATACTTGAGGTACCTCTTATGGGAGTGACTGTGATCAAAGGCCATACCTGCAGATATGATGTGGATGTCTTCCTAATGTCCAGAGCGTTTCCTCACAGCTATCCTGTTTATTCTTCTGGGTCCAGCAGACATCCTGTTTTCCCACATCCTGCTTGTCCCACTGGCAGTGATGAGACACATGAGTAGGCAGATTTTGGTTTTCATTACGGAAAGCTACAATCTACCTGGGAGTGTCAATGTCTTTTTATGAATTTTTTTCCTAATCTATAGGATCCAGAACCCTTAAGATCCCATATCCAACAAAGAATCCTTTCACATGGCTGTTTTTCTTTGTGTCTTGCCCTAACTATACATATGAGGTATGTATTTTCAAACAGATGTTGAGATTTTAGTTTTGCTGGGTGTGTTTTCATTTCTGTTGGAATGATGTTAAACATGGAAGGAAACCTTAAGACAGTTCAGTCTAATACATTTCTCTTCTCCTAAACTCCATGGAATTTCTTTGGCCTACCACGCTGCAGACTGAAACTTGTCTGTTCTTCCTCTGCTCTCTTGATGCATTATTTATGGGCCCTACCTAAAACAGAGGGTCCAGATCCTGAGCCTATGCCTCAGCATGGCTGCTAGACAAGATGCGGGAACACTTTAAAGCAGGAAACATTCTGCAAACAAGAATAGGGAGATTGACACTGTGGGTGTCTTGCATTGAGGGGATGGAGTTGCATGGGGGATTTACAACGCAAGAGAGCCCAGGGATATGACAGTATGTGGGAAGATAGTGGACAGATGAATAGAAGATAGTGTGGTAGAAAAAATGGGGAAATAGGGATATCACATGGTCCCTGCCAGGCCTACTTCCCCACTTCTGTGAGTTATACAAGAACTTGTGTCGGTGGTGGCTGCTTCAGAAGATTGAGTCAGTGAATCACTTCACATCCTCTAATCAGGAACCAAACTCTTGGCTCAAGTTTAAAAGCAGTTAAAAACAGTTCAGCGCAAGGTAAAATTCACTCTTGTGCAGAAAGACTGCATGAGGTCTTGACTTCAATGGAGATTAACAGATATCAACAAGAAAAACATTTGGCCTAGGGCCATAGAAAGTTGCCATTCCTAACACTGATGGAGGAGCAACAAATACAAAATAGGCAGAAAATATGAAAAGAACCTGTGTTGTAATGCTTAAAATTTTACTCATGATAATTACTAGGGAAGCAAACATGAAAGTTTTGTTTGTGATAACAAGACACTGTTCGCTTTCTTGGCTAAAGGTTATTGACACCAGAAGTTGGCTTGGCTGACCTTCGCTTTTTATTTACTTATATTAGGACAAGGTTGTTTTTGATCATTTGAGACATAAATGCAAATGCTGTCACCAGAAATATTTTTCATTTCCTTGGCCAAAACAGGTTGGGACGTGGATCAGTTTCACTATCATGACTCAGTGTGTCCCAGGTGAGTAATGTTTTGGCACTTCTCCCTGAAGTGTTGTCAGCATAAAAGAGTATATTGTTTCTCTGATAATGAAACATTTTCTTTTTTTATTCTTTCCTTCCAGTGGGGCTGTTCACCCTGCTTTGCTTCATTCAGATGACAATCTGGGCAAAGGATAAACATTACACCTACCTACGAGAATTCAAGGATTATCCAAGTCTTCGAATGCCAATTATTCCTTTTTTGTTGTAAGAAAAAGGATGAATTTGAATATTGCACGGAACTTCAGGAAGAAAAAGCTCATAGGTTATTCTTATTCATAAACCTCCTGCCAAATAGGTGAATTAATTAGATGATTGTGATGCATGTTGAATCTCCACTGCTTGGGGAAATTGTATACACTTGAAAGCTCTATTTCTTACACTCAAGAATTCCCTAATTCAGGAGCACTTCCATAAAATAAGACTTCATTGCTTAGCTGGTAGTCAAAGGCCTCTTTATGGATCAGATATATCAAGAAGCCTATGCTGAAATGCAGCTCTAAATTTAGCAGTGGCATTCAGCAAGAGTGTGACATAAGTACTCTGGAACAAGCACTTACCAGCTAGCTACTGGAGAGCTCAGCTCAGTGTGCCCTGCTGGCCTGAAGACAGCTGCATGTTCTGCCTTCTTTGAATTGAGGAAGAGAGCGTGCTGCCTGGAAGCAGGTGCTTTGTAAGAAATAACATTACCAAAGAGTATGAGTGGTGCTTGGAATAAAGAAATAGGCAATATCTCAAATACCTAACTTGAGTCTAATCCATAATTTGCCAAATTAACCTGAAATAAGAAGTATTCGTGGATGTAACATCCTGTATGTTTTTTTTTAATGCCTTCTTTATCAGTAAATTGCATACTAGTAAATAAGGTTCTTAAGATCTAATCTATGTTGTATTTGTGATATTTGGCCTGTTTTCATATAACAAATCCTTATGTTACTAAAGGACATTTTACCTAGCCTTTTACGTCAGCATTTTCTGAATAATTTTTAATGCACTTTGTATACACACACAGTGACTGATAGTCCTCAGAATGCTAGCTCCCTTCCTATTTTTAGAGCTAGGGAGAAAAACTAGATACATTTTGGACTTTCTGTGTTTTCTTTTTCTCAAGATGTTCAATGGCACTTCAAAGGGTTTTGTATCAACCTAGTTAAAAAAAAAAAAGACTATTGCAATCTATCTGAATAACATTTTACAAAAGCTATTTTAGAATATGAAGAGAATGCATAGATACTTTTTTGTCGTGATTAATTTATTTATCGATAATGGATGTATAGAGAGATTTTTGCAACTATTTGTAAGGGTGAAATATGCAATAAATTCCAGCCTCTCTCTTGAATTCAGTTGAAATAATTATGGCAAAAGAAGACTAAAGCTGGTTGCTAAGTTTCATAATCTTTTGTACAGTACAAAGCAAAAATGTTCTTGCATCAAATAAAAAGATCTATATCAACTGAAGAAAAAAATAACAAAGCAAAAAACATGACCCAGATTTTATTTTTGTGCAGCACATCCTATCACTGAGCAGATATCTTAAAAATGATTAGGTCTGATAGATAACTGTAGCAATACATCATTATGAGTTTGTTTTCAGTAATGCTATTCTTCACTAGTTTAACTGTGAACCAGAGAAAAAGAGCTAAATGTCAAATGATTTTCCATTGAATGCAGTGTTAGGTACAAGCAGGCTGAAATTTTTCTTTTGAGCACACAGAAAGCACATACCCTATTCAAACTTTATACCCACCTGAGGTCCAGGTCATAGGAAAGAAAAAAAATTTGATCTTATTCAGGGACAAGGATATCTTTCCAGGCCTCTAAGTGACAACAAAACTTTGGGCCAGTTTGAAGATACTCTAAAGGCCCATTTTGACATTCCGGCTTCTATTTGTGAAACTTGAAGAGACACGAGTATGAGATCATTTTCATAAAGACATACTTTTTAAACAAATTTCTTGCCTGGGTCTGAGATATGAGTTGATTCTTCGCATTCTTGCTGAGAAAACTGTCTGTTTGCATTGGCAGCCCGGCATGATAGTGAAGGAGTCTCCCAGCGCTAGCCCCTTCAGCCAGCACTAATGTTCTGACCTTGGTAGTCCTGTGCTCACTCAGGATGGCAGGAATCCATTCCTGAGCTGGGCAGTACGCTCTGCCTTTGGATTGGTCTTTTGATTGGTAGTGATTGACTTAGAAGAGTTAAAAAATAAAAGCCTACCAGCTTAAAAGGGCCAGATCCAGAAGGTATCTTCAATGGTCTTTCCATGTGTATAAGGAAGAATAAGACCTCTGCTCTTGTATCTTATAATGAGCCTTTGACACTTTCAGCATGTATTGCACATAGTTCTCCTGGCAGAGCAGTAGAAGTTTGCTGTTGCTAAGGAGTTGTGAGCACAGTGCTCAGAATGGTATAAAATCGGTATAATACTGAGCATGGGAGCCTTTATTTTACCCTTGTACTACTCTGGTATGGCACATCCTTGCACCGGGCACACTCTCAATGCTTGTGGCTTTAGGAATAGTTTATGCAACTGCCTGTTGAGGCAAAGCAGGGGACACCTTTGCTTCCTGGCTGGCTCCAGCTGCACGGGGATGCAATGGAATTTCCTCATCCTCCATCTGCTGTTTAGCAAAGTTCACAAAAACCTGTGTGAGGAGAGAAGACAAATGTCTCATTGACTGAGATGAGTTAGTTGAATGGCTTTATAAGTTTGTAACCTCTTGGCCTCTGCAGGGAAGAGAGGGAAAGGGGACTCCAGCGGCATGTACTGAACCAGGACCCTGAGCATCAGCAAGGATCATTAGTTCCTTCTTTATTTTGATAAACTTCCTTTGGATGCACTTACTTGCAACTAAAATACTTTTTCTTCAGCAGAAGATGGGTTCAGCAAGGCTTGCATGGCTTGAACAGCGTGAGTGAGTTTGGTCGTGATGGGGAAGGGGGGGGACAGAGTATCTTAGTAGGAAGTTGTAAAGCAGCCTGGATGTCTCACTAGCATCCCCACAGAAGATAACTTTGCATATGCAGACCCTGAGCTACTCAGAAGAGCAGGCAGATGGGGCTAATGCCCTCTAGCAACTATGTACTGCCCATAGCCCCAGTGGGCTTCCCAGGCTTTTTGTGTCTAATTGCTCTTGTGTAAAAATGCATGACATGTATAAACATTTAACTGGGTACCACAATACCTCTGACACAACACTGTCAAAAACCCTTATTCAAAATAAACAGAAGGAAGCACTAGGTTATTCCCAGCTCAGCAAGCCTCATTCTGAATAGCTGACCTTGCTCAGACTGCTGCTTCTAATGCAATGGGTTGTGTGAACTCTGAAATCTGGGAAATGCTGTCTCAACAGCTTTCAGATGGCACCTATTTACTCAGGGAAGTAGTCAAAGATTTCATATTTGATCCTCCCTCCTTGATGAGGGGGTCTGGGAGTTTTGCCTGAGTAAGTGGTGCAAGATAATTCCCTACACTGAACAGTATGGTCCTTCAGGTATTTGGATACATCCCCATTGCATTGCCCAATTCCTGCCAGATAGGCTTTCTCAGGGATGCTTTAATTTTTACTCACCTGATCTAAAGTTGTTTGAGAGATAGAGTATTCTTCAATATGCAGGTTTTCCTTATTGGAGATTATTAACCGAAATATCTTAGCCAGAGAGGAGGAGCAAATCTGATACTGCAGCATGTTGTAGTGTTTCTCTCTCTGTAAACTCCCTGGGAAGTTTATGCGTATGAACTGCTCAGCAGGACTGGGATCTGGAGGCAGCCCAGACTTTGGAGCTTTGATTTTCAGAGTGACGATGTAGCCCTCTCCAAACCTGTGGAGCAGATGAGGGTTTGGGAGTTGGGTGAAGACATGACTTCATTATTCAAGGAAGGAAATTAATTTTCAGCAGCTATGAAAACATTGATAATATCTGAAAAATAGTGCCTAAGGTTAAGCTCTGTAGAAATTTAATGAGTCTGTATTTGCCCTGCAGAAGTGATCTGTAGCATAAAAGAGTGGAAATGAGGTCTGCTCAAGTTGTCCACTATATCACAGAATTGCACGCAGAAAGGGGTCTGTTTAAATGACAGCTCTTGGGTTAGCCCTTCAAACAGGATGGCTGTATTAAGAAGGGTATATGTCACATGTGCTGAATTTCTCCAAAAATCCCCACCATTTTGGAATAAAAATATTCTGCTTACTTGTATTTCAGATGCTGAATTGTGCCCAGGCATTTGAAGGTTCCTTTTACCATGATGGCTAAACGAGTACAGAGAGCTTCACATTCTTCCATACTTTCAAAACAGAGAACAGATATTTGAGATAAAAGCTAGCAGCTGAACTCCAGCTGCTCTGGGATTCAGTAAATTGCCTGAATTCCAACTCTTTTTACCTGTGTGAGGTTAGAACCACAGCTCGTCCATCTCTGAGCACACTGACAATGGAGTCCCACAGGAGGCGCCGGGACTGAGGGTCCATTCCAGTAGTTGGTTCATCCTGGAAGGGAAATGTTAAGACAGCCACAGTCAAAGAAGCAGATGAGGAAAAGCAAATCCGTTTAGAATTGATTCTTTGTGTATTTCAGCCTCAATGAATAACTGCTTTCCTACGGAAATCTTTGCCTTGAGAAAACACATGCACTTTGAGAAAGAATGGGTATTAATAAACTTCTGGCACAAAGCAGTCTTTAACAGTAAGGAAACAAATTCAAGAAATTACAGGTGAGAATAGAATGCTGTCTGTGTAGGACACAGCTACAGGGAAGAAAATGCAACGACCATTATGACAAAGGCAATCCACAGTCTGGTGTCTTAGCTACCAAAATTGTAAACATTTGTGATACCCCATTACCAAAGCATCTAAAATGGATTCAAAATAGAAATAAATGGTAGCAGTTGCATCAAATTTTAACAAGTCTGGCTTTAAAAATAACCTTATTACTTATTTACATAAGCATATAGGACACATTTCTCCACCCAAGAAGCTAGTGAAGTCACCCTGATTCACACCAGCTGAGGATCTGGTCCTGTGTAAATCAGTCAACCCAGTCAGTAGTTTAAAAAAAAAAAAAAAAGAAAGAAAAAAAAATTTGTCATTCAACATTTTCTCTTGAAAAATGATGAGAAAATGTTTCATCTGTCTGTTTACTATGTACAGACAGAATACATATGAAGGCACATGCAATTGCACAAGTAACCATTATATCAAAAAGTTATTAACATGTTCTTTTTTAGCCTACAAATTAAAGTGCTGCAGTATATGGTATGTGTCACGTGCTAATTCTTGTAGTAATTGCATTTAGAATTACCATTGATTTATGCAACTACCAGGAAACTTATGTTACTCAATGAGAACTAGATTTCAGTATTTGTATAGTCTAAATTTCCATAGTTTATTCCAAAGATATTAAAGGTTGCAAAAGGGCAGCTATCCTTCTCTCAAACATTTATTCTGCTGGATAAATCAGCAAGATATATATGTCATAAGATCATCTCTTACATGAGTGGTTATACTTTGTCAAGAAAAGGCAGACTGAAACCAAACTGATTTGAATTCAGATTTGCTTGGATTATAGATTTTATCTCAAGTCATTCTTTGTTGAAGATCTTTCTTTCATAATCACCTAGGGCCCAATCAAAACACAATTATGTATCCCAGTCTCTCCCCAAAATTAAAGAACTCAAAATTATATTGAAGTAGATGTGAGTTGAGGGCAGAAAGCAGCTTGCAAGGACTGCCATTAAACATACTTGTACCTCTTACAGGATATCGTTTCATGGGGTGTCATATTGCACTATCACAGACCTTTGTTACTGTGACACTTACTAGCAGGACTAGTGGTGGGCAGCCTATCAGTGCAATGGCAGTGGAGAGCTTGCGCTTGTTGCCACCACTGTAGGTACCAGCCAGCTGGTCTGCATACATAGGAAGTCCCAGCTTCTGTATGCCCCACTCAGCAACCTATGAGAAAGACAGACTTCTTCACTCAACAGCTAATGATTAGCAGACTGTATTGCTGACACATCCTTCTTCTGTCAGAAACATGGCAAGCATTGAGTTTTAGCACATTCACTTTAAGACTGGATCAGGGAAGGGTCCAAAAATTTTGTGATGATGAAGTGAATTGTAATTCCTTGATGTAAAGCCACAATCCAGCCCAGATACAGATTTTCTAACTCTACAAGAATGTACATTGTTGTCTTCTGGAATCTTTTTCATGTTTTCTTTCTCATACATAAGCAACTTTAAAGATAAGAGAAAAACGTCAACCAGCACAGTTCTGAGACATAGCAGCTGCATGTTTAGTTTTCCACTGTTAGTCCCACAGTTTTGCAGGTATCATTCATGCCTAAGAACTTAGATTTGATAGTGCAATCTTGTGTTTATCCGTCTAAACGGTAGAAACCACTCCCAGAACTTCAAAACAGAGAAAGGCAAGCTCACGCAATTCTAGCCCTAGGTATGAAAAGAATCCAGTTAATCATCATAAATATTCAGTGTAATTATGAAGAAGTCAAAAGCAAGACTGCTTTACCCTCTTGATTTCCTTTGCTGGAACCCCCCGCAGGCGTGCGTATAAGTAGAGATGTTCCCGTCCTGTGAGCAGGTCATCAATGGCATCAAACTGAGGGCAGTATCCCATGTTTTGATGGGCATTAGAGATTTGGGTCAATATACTGGAGAATCAAAGAAAAGAATCTCATATCTATAACACTAGCTTTAAGACAGAGATGGACAGTTTGAATAAAATCTTTTTTTTCTGGGGCAACAACTCTTGTAACGGGAAAATGAATTCTCCCTTACACAAGGCCCTACTAAAATATCCACCTGCATAGTATAGCAAAGAATGTACTGTCATTCAAGTCAGCTGAGTCCTGGTAAGAGTGGAAACCCGTTCTCCCTCACCCATTTTCCTGTTTAAGCACAGGCCAACTTGAAAAGTTCTTTGAACAGCCACTCAGCAGAAATTATTCTTTGCAAATAGTGCTCATTTCAAGATGAAAAAAATCAAGCAATTTCATGGCAAAGCGTGTTTACTGGGAGCAGACAAGCAAGACACAAGGCTAACATTGTCAGCTGGTAGTAGCAGTGGAAGAAGAAAAGAGAAGTACAAATAAATAGATATTGTTCAAATTACAGCAACAGAGACAGACCCCAACCACACCTAAGAAACTAAGGCATACAACCTGAAACTAAGCCAACATAAACAAATACCATATCACAATGTATTCACTTATGTATTATGTCAGCACAGTGTAGACAAAGTGGCTAGAAATAGGCAGAGAAGTCCTAAAGGCTCAGATCAAAGTACTCTGTAGGATGGGATATCTTATGTTTGGGAGCTCTTGGCAATCTCCTCATACAGTTAAGGGATCGGATTTGATTGCCTTGTCCCACCTTTAGCATTACTATAACTTACAGATTTTTCAACACAGTGTTAAAAATGTGAAGTGCCAGTGTGTGTTAGCTGTGGCATCTCTTAGTGACATAAAAATGGAAAGGAAATGCTGGGTCATTGAGTCTATGATCTGGGCACTCCTACGCTGGTAAACAGATTGTCAGTTTTTTTAAGGCACTTACCTGTTGCCAGCCACTACAGCATCTCCAGATGTCACATCAGTATCCCCAGTGAGCATTCTGAATGTAGTAGTTTTGCCAGCGCCATTCACTCCCAGAAGACCAAAGCACTAAGTTATAAAATTTATCACATTCTTCAGTATTTCCAACTTGTAAATCAGCAGGGGCATGAACTCTGAATTGATCCATGGAACGTATTCTAGTGCCATTGAACAACCTACCTCTCCAGGACGGATGCCAACACAGAGTCTGTCCACTGCTGGCTTGTGTCTACCTGCATAAATCTAAAACGACCGGAAAAAAAAAAAAAAAAGAAAAATCCTACTTCAAGATGTCTGCAGCAGAGAAAATCCTCTGAATTATTTAGTTTAATGCAATTGGGATGAGGCAAATTCAGAACCAAGGCAAAAATAAAGATAGCTAAATAAAACTTTTAAAAGAAAGAGCAAGCATTCCATAGAGCCAAACGTTCACCCTACAATACATACATTTGTAATGATCCCTAAAAACACCAAGTTTTCTTTGTCCAGCCTTTTATTTCATATTTTTAGCACTAGGAGAGAGATCTTACACTTCATTTGGACAAAGTATTTCTGATATATCAGAGTGGAACAATACAGCAAGATAGTCCAAAGAACTCTGTTCAGTCCAGTTCTCTGTTTATGAGATCCCAGCAATGTGTGTGATTTTTGGATTTTTTAGCTCAGGCTTGCATGCACTCTGGAAGCACCTATCAGATGCCTTCAATTTCTGGAAAGATTAGTTAGCAAAAACTATAGTCCTCATGGGAAGGCAACTGAACGGTTAACTTGAGATTGAAACTCATCTATGGAAAAAATGCACTGCAGAAAAAAGGACTAGTGATAGAAAGGGATAGTCAGGTTGAATGATGTGAGATAAAAAAGTTTTAGCAAGGGAGTGAGCGAGGAGGGTTGCACTGTTCTTGCTAGGCTTTCTTGTAGTTTGATTTTTAACCAAAGGGAATGGTCAAATAACAGACCAAATCCTGATTTTTAAAACACTTGTTATTTTCCAAGGCACAAGGATGATTTTGAAAAAAATACAATCTGCATCCGCAGCTCAAGTGTGTTCTAAAGTTATTTGTTTCATCTTTCCCAAAACAGTACCTTGGTCAGCTCTTGCAATTTTAAGATATCTGTTTTGTTCCCTCCACTCATAATCCTTTTTCGTTCTTCCGCAACATCTTCATCTTCACCAATAATAGGTGAATTGGTAGTCTCAGCAAACCTGGAAAAAACAAGGGATTGATTGCCGAAACAATGAGTTGCCCTGGGTGCGGTTGCAATAGCAGAGTGTGAAACAATGGCCGCTCCATTCCCAAAAATGTGACTGGTGGAACCAGTGGGACTGAAACTTCACAATGTGACATTGGCTTGAGCACTGCTGCACTTGAGAGACTCCCTGACTTTTGAAAGTTAAGCTTTAAGTACTAAAAAGGGAGGAAATTGCTATTCAGATGAGCATGCCTCTTCAGCCACTGATATGATAAACTGCTGCTCAGCCACAGCTTTGGCTTTTTGGTAGCTCTTCAGTAACTAGTGAACTGATACCCTTCTATAGATCTTTTGAGAAGACTTCCCTGCAAGACAATATTTTCAGAATAGTATCAATTAGTACCCCTGTTGGCAATCTCCAGCAGGAGTGAATGACCCACTCGCACCTGGAAGGCACATTGAGACGGGGCACACTTGTAAAGCAAAGAGGGGAAGCTTGCAAGGTACCCAGGCTGCAACTCCTGTGCAGTAGCCTAGAATTTCAGTCTTAGGATGTCAGCGCTTAGGACATTCCAAACTTTCCAAGTGATTTTGTAATCTCACTACTACAGTTTCTTGATACAATAAGTTTACATTAAAGTTTTAATTCAAGAAAGCAATTTAAGTTATGCAAACATAGGCTTAAGTGCTATTAAAACAATGAAGATAGCGACTTAAGCACATGCTTCGATGTTTTCTCGAACCAGGATATCAATGAATCAAGACGAAATCAGATAAGTAAATAGGATGAGGCTATTAAAGCCACAAATACAGAGATAAAGAAAGAAAAAGCAAGAGAGGCAGACAGAAAAACAGACACATCCTACAAATAAACAAACATTAATACAAGCTTTCAGACATACCATCCTGTGGAGAAAAAATGGTGCTGCATAAACAAATTCAGAATGAAGTATGCAACCCCTTGAAAAGCCATGGCAACCAGGTTCTTTCCAACAAAGTCCCACTGAAATGGATTGGAGACATGCTCCTCACCTTTGGAGAGGAAACACCAGAAAGCAAGGTAAAATGCTGCTGAAACAAAACACTTCTCCTCAGAACAAAGATACAAGCATAACGGCTTAGGATGAAAAGCCTATACTTTATATGATCATGTACTTTTATTTGATCAGGAAATGTCTGCCATTTTCCAGTAAAGGTTCTTAAGAAAATATAACACAAGCTCAGCTTAGCTCCACAGGTGTTGTTGCATGGGAGGAAAAATGAGTATTAGCACTCTTAATAAGCAATTATTTGTAGATCATATCAAGAAATATGCATGGATTATGTGGAAGACATACCTGTTCTAAAGAAAGAAAATAGGAATTTTGCTATATCACTACTCTTTAATAAGAAGCTGTCTGATATCAAAGATAGCCATATCCACATGCCAAGAGGATGCATTTGAAGAACAGCCACTTTAAACATTAACACGAGGGCTGTCAAAATATTCAAATGAAATGAAACGAAGAAATCTATCCCAGCTGTGATGATATAAGGACTTCAGGACAAGCGATGAACACAGATCAGAGTCTGGCACTGAACAAACTGTTTCATTTTCAACACAGACTACTGGTCAGAAGCCCTGGGGCTCTGGCAGTTGTGGCAGAAGCTGCAACTCATTCAAAGGGGTTGAATTTTTTTCCTCACACTTCCTCATTCACCTACTGATGTGAAAAGTGGAAATTTCAACAATGGCCACTTATCTTCCAAAATTACACTTCCAACCATCTCATCCAATGTCAAGACATGTAACACTGACATCCCTTGCTGATTACTGACTCTTACTTACCAAACCTGGCATATACTTCACTCACAGCTTGGTTCATGGCCAAGTCAATGAGTCCACGGCCCAAGCAAAAATGCGGGAAGACAATCAGCACGTTTTTCAATGTTTTGTTAAATTTCAGCAAGGACTATAAGAAACAGAAACAACACCACAAAGCAGTTGAAACCAGCCATCTTTAAGAAAACACAGTAAAACGAATGAGAAGTTCTCTGTCACGTTGGAGAAACTGGATGGTTTTTGTTCTCACAACAATAACAGAGAGGTTATGAAGCTACACCCAAAGCATCTGCAACCTATGTAGGAGAATGCTGCCATACATTGCACCAAGCCAGGTGCTTGTTAAAAATTGTCAATGAGGAGAGAAATGCATCTTTGTATCTGTTGCCTATTATACACAGGAACAATGAGCAACCAAAAAAAAAAAAAAAAAAAAGGGGAATTTCCCCTTTTTAATACTTTTTTTAAGCCAGGTGCTTGTTAAAAATTGTCAATGAGGAGAGAAATGCATCTTTGTATCTGTTGCCTATTATACACAGGAACAATGAGCAACCAAAAAAAAAAAAAAAAAAGAGTGGTACTTACCTCTTGTAATACCTTTATTTATGGCTGGAATAGTTCCATAATCAAGACTGCCATACTCTTGAAAAGTACCAGTTTCAGGGTATAACTACACAGTAGACTTTGGTACAATGCGGAGATACCCAAAACAGCATAAGCATCAGTAGCAGTCTAGCTGCACACCACTGAATCCAGAGAAGGGCAATTTTCCCTCTGGAGACATGGTGTCTGCAATGGAGATGTATTCTCAAAGGTAACAAAATACTGGCTTGCTGACCCACAGACTGAACAGCATTAGATTGAACCCTACATTATCAATGTGCGTGGGCATGGTTGAGAATGCAGGAACACTAGGGACAGAAAGTATTGTGAAGTCTTGAAAGTATTGGCTCTTGAAACCGTGACTAACTGAACCAAGATCTGCTTCTCCTGCCCACCAAAAACAATACTTGATCGCTACATGGTGATTACTGCACTGGCAGTTGGATTGCAGACAGACATAGAAAGGGTATCACAGCCTCAGTGGCCAGGGAATCAGCAGCTGTAGAGGCAGGAGTAGTGTATACAAACCACCTAGGTTTATAAACTGGTCTCCTAGCTTTTATAAGAGTGGCACCACTATGTTCTGCCTATTCTTGTGCTTCTTGTCACCGTCCTGGTAGTGTTAAACCATTTTTGGGCAACTCTCAAAATGCTACTATAAACAAAACATCTCCTCTGGCACAACGGCTAGCAGGCACAAGCGCCTTTTCTTGGTGGTGGTGACTCCATGCTTTTCTACCTTCCCCCTCTTCCTGTACAACCCAGCCTGTGGAAGCAAACATAAAGCATCCCCTCAACCCCAACTGTGAAAGGGGACAGAGGTTTGCCCACAGGGATAAAAACTTATGTAACTCCTTGTGTGTTTCGATGACAGTCCAAGACATCAAATTCCCTGAGATTCACTTTTTCTCTGGTCTGCTCACCTGTCCTTGCAGCTGGTCAGCAAGTTCCCCACCCACTTATTTACTGCTAGAAAAACAGTGAGGTAGAGGAAGGCAGTTATCTCTGGAGTTTATTATACTTGGACACTGTTTGCAAAGCTCTTTAAAGAAGTTTTCCATAAAAACATCACTTACCGGGTTATTTTCAAACAACTCCAGGATGAATGTAATGGCACTGCTGTTGATCCCCACAAAGAGATTAACACAAGACAACGTCACATAAGCAGTGCTAGGGACACTGAAGAAAGAAGCAGCAGGGTACATCATGGGAATTACTGCCCACCTGCATGCCAAAGATAGAAATATTCTGATAAACAGCCTCAGCACTCATGTTAGTTTGCCTACTGAAAACACAAAGGTGACCTTTCTTCTCATCCTAAGCGTAATGAAATGCCATAATAATGGCATAATCAGAGAGTCCACTGGAATATTTTTCCCTGGTTAGATAAAAGGAATGTTTTCTTCTTAGTCTTGTTTGCTGTTCAAATACAGGACAATGGAAACTGATGAAATTGAAAAAGTTAATGCTAGCAAGGTAATTATCATCCCAGATATCCTTGTACATCCCACTGGACTCTACATCTGGCGGCCAAAATGAGTAAAGGTTAGATAAAGCCAATATGATGTACTGCTTTGCCAGATAATCCTCAGCCTTTGGAACCATCCCGAGAAATCAGAAACTCTATACATGTTGATGCTCTCTCAGAGCTTCTCTACCATTGCGCTTCACTCCTGATTTGAAGCTTCTTGTGCCATGATTTTTTGGACATAGCAAATAAACATTTAGCAGCAGAATAGGAGTATTCCTCTGGAATAAACTTACAATACTTAGCCACAATCAATCGGGCTAAGAAGAGTTCAGTATCCACAGGCTGCGTTGCTTCATGGCACAATAAAAGCATTGTTACAAAGAATCATCTTAAATTTCCTGTTGTGACTACAGCTGGAAGCAAGGGCTAATATATGAGTCTATGAACCTACCTTGCTCTCTGTTTTGTATTTTGAATAGCTAATTGTGAAATTATTATTGAAGTGACTGCCATGTGATTATGGTTTTTTTTTTTTGTAAATAAAAAATCATCTTAATAGATGCTTTAAAATAAGAGAAGACATTTTAAGTGTCCATCCACGTGCCCAGAAATTACTCTATTTTTAAATAATATACATGACCTTAGCCACGGACAACATTTTAAAAGACAGTATTATTCCACTTTAAAAAGATGTAATGAAATAGTGGACATTCTGACATCATTTTTTAATTATGAAGTATTTTACAGAGATTAAATGATAACTTGCATTTCCTCAAGATTTTCATTCAAAGAACAGGAAAACTACTGCAATTTAAAGGTAGTCTGTCAAAAAAAAGATCTGTGCCCTCTTAGACTTAATTTGCGATCTGTAAAGGAGGATGTGAAAAGCATCATTTATTTATTTTGTCGCCATATGAGATGGCGACAAAATATTCCTTCTTACAGTATGTGGCCAGACAGAGAGTACGCCGGAACAGTGACAGAACCTAGTTCTAACCTGTATTGTACCTATTCAGTTTTACTCTTTAAAGCTAGATTTCACTAACTACCAAGCTCAACCACATGAAATCTTTTCAGTGTGAAGTATAAGGCCGCACATGCAGGAACAACCTTGAAGACTCACCCATACAGAAGCAGCAAGGCAACAAGCACAGGGAGATTAGCTGGAGAAGTGTATGCTTTCTTGTTGAATCCGGCGAATATACCCACAACTATTCCAGCACTGATCGCATAATTCACCTGCACATCAAAGGGAGAAGATCAGTGTATGAGACCTGAGAAGGTCTGGAAACCTATCCAGACCCTATGCATTATTCCAAAAGGATTTTCAAATTGATGGAGCACTGGAATTTATGAGCTAGACTAGTAGCTCTCAAGCTTTTGGATCAGCAGTTTTAAGGCAGCACTCAACCTTTTTCTGACACTCCTTTTATCAGACTGTTCTTCAGAAATCCAACACATTGTTGTTCCTTAAATTATGGTTTGGGGACAAGTTAGTTCATGGTCCTGCTGGCAGACTGCCCACAGAAAGAGGCAGTGGCCAGAGAGACAAGTGAAGCGCAGTTCTGGTGGTGCAAAGGCTGCGTATAAAATGGAGAAAGCTACTAACCTGCCATCATGGCAGGGAGGAAGCTAAAGTGAGCGTGCTTTGGCGACTGCTCTGCTTAGTATCTCTGTTCAGTATTAGTAGTGCTAGCATACAGCAATGAAGAGAGCTGCCTGTGCAGAACTTTTCACAGCGCAGATAACACTGATTAATAACTGCATCAAATGGTTAAGGGCCACAGCCAGGCAGAATTCCTGGCAAGGGAGCTGCTGGGAGGGGAGCCCCCTGTGACAAGCAGGGGATAGGAGCTCAGAGACCTGCTTCTTCTCCTTCATTCACTAAATAAGTGCTTTGCTTAACCTTTGCATGAAGGACTACCCTTCTGGAGCCCAAAGAGGCCTTTCCATGTTCATGCTTTTCTTACTCCATAAGCCCTTGGCCCCTCCCCTTTGTTGAGAAGGCATGGCTACAAAATAAACCCCTTCTGCCTCAAGGAGGCAAAGAATTTGCTCCTTTGTAATAGAGTACCTTGAGGATTAATGGAAGGATAGTTAAGCCCTGTCTAAGCAAGCCTAGGCCTGTGCTCTGAGTTCTTTTGGAACAACACAATGGGCCTAAACGAATACATCTATGTCATTTTAGATACCCTAGAATATTTTGCCTAGCCTCCAGCTGCTGTTCCAGCAGATTGCGCATCTCCCATTTAGATGTCCTGACTATCTTGAAACACATTAAGGAGCTTCTAAAGGGCAGGCATGACTATCTTCTGACAACTGAGCTTTTACTTGCTATGTTATTTGTACTTTATTACACATTCAGTGGTAAGGACTGGAAACACATGTGATTACAACACTTCCAGCTACATTAGTTGAATAATGAGCTGTGCCCCTGATTTAATTTCCACTTTTAAAATTATTTAGGAGAGGTCAGGTCCTTAGCACACTCTGAGAAACACTTCAAGAAATAAATGCTTTGCAATGCTCAGAGTTGCCCTCACTCAATTCTCCTATTAGTCCCCAGCTAATCCAAATCCAGGAATAACTGTAAGCTATGAAATCCGATCAGCAGTTACTTACTATGTCCCACATGAAGTTAGTTAACCAGTAGACAGCAGGGCTCACACCACTGACAAATTGGAGGTGCCTGGCTTTTGTCACACGTTCTTGAATCAGGTACAAAACAAAACTGGCTGGGATAAAGGACATGGCAAAAATCACACAGATGGCAACAACAGCATCCACTGAAGTGGTCAGCCTGCATCGGAGCAGAAGAAAAAGGGGCTGTGAGCAAGAGAACGGAAACAACATAATACTATATTAACATTTTAAGATCCAGAAATATTAAGGTTATTTTGAAAGTAGATTTTTCCAGTTCTGAAATGTGCTGGTGTATTTTCCGATGCTATATTTGGGATAGTAGCTAAAAAACATGAATACTGATGTCTCCATTCCCTGATTTTTCACTTGCAGTCTTTCACTGAGACAGTTCAACTTCTCTATATAGCAGGGTTTGACAGCCTTTCATGGGTGATGTTTTCTTTTTCAAACTAGGTATTAAGGCCCAATGGTAGAAGTGCTCTGGGAGCTGGAAGAAGAAGAGCTACTCAGAGAAGCATGATGCAACCCATGAGATGAATAGCAAATCTTGCCTCTGTGCTAAGGCAGAAGTTTTCAGCTTTAGTGATTTCTGAAATGAGCAGGAGATGAGTGGGGAATCATGTTGTCTCATGGGTGTCTTTTTCAAGAAATGATGGCTCCCAAGGTTCTTGAATACACCAACCCTATTGCATGCCACTGAAAATCTACCTGTGTACTGTCCTTGGCACCCAAGCCAGAGGTTGTTGGCTACTGCCTATCTGTAGTCACTTAAGGACAAATTCTAATGCCTTTCCTAATTCTGATCTCTGTGTTATTTCCTAAGTAGACCTACTGGCTTCATAGCATGAAAGAAGACTTCAGAACCTGGCTTTAGTGCTGTGGAATCAACAGAAATATATAATCATATATAACCAAAGGTCATGGCTTATATGTGGAATGGGAGTGAACTTCTGTGGGAACACAATGAGACAGAAAAGAATGGATTTTACACCTAATCCCTGATAAGAATAAAAACTTTAGGGAAGACCCTCCATATTCTGTGAACTGAGCTATCCCCACTCAGAGTGTGAGCACACTGGAGGTGGTAAGCTGTCAGGAGAGGAAGGAGCGTAAGTCAGTGGCAGAACACAGGCAGACTTACACAGTGACTTCAGAGAGTTGCTCCTTAGTGAGGTTCAGAGGATGGTTTATAACAGTGATTCCATATTCCTCAGGGGCTTGGCCAGTTCGCAGGTTAGCTCTAAGAATTCCATTGTTGGCTATGTTAAGGAAACTAACCATAGCATGCCAGCCTTTATTGTTAAACCACACCTAAAAGAGCCAGAGAGCACAAATTCATTTAGGAAGCTTTAACTAATAACCCTGAGCTGCAGGAGAAAACTTGGCTGTCTTTTATCTACTTTGGTGGGTATTTTCAGCAGGGAAGAACCCACAACCAGGATTTCATAACTCCTAGGCACAAGTCCAGCAGGAGGAGCTCACATACTGTGCTTTTACAGAATCATTCCCAACAGGGTTGAAAAACCATTCTACCAAGGAATTTTGTAGAAGCACATTTTAACATTTAGCAGCGTATGTACTTCTCAAAAGAACATGATTAAAAAAAATCCCTCCTATTAGAAATAATTTTGCATTTAACAGTGTGTCCCATACTACTCATAATAAATACAGTTGTCTTGCATCTGATAATGCCACTAACAATATTCTCACAAATTGACATCTGCCTCAAGAAAGACTGAGTTAGCAGACTATGTTCAGCAAATACCTTAACATTATCTTCAGTTTCCATGTATTTAAGGAAATTAGACATTTCTTTAGAAGCAGCCAGTGAAGTTTCTCCCTAAAATGAAAAAAAAGAAAAGGCTAAAGATCAGCTCTCTGGGGGAATTCTGGTGCTGCAGATTTTTAGCTTTGCAACAATTTTTTGATAAAGAGCCAAAAAGATTCTTGCTTACTCCTGTCACATTCATCATTCGGCCAAGATCACTTAAAAAATTGATAACTTCATCTGCAGAAACATGAAGGACTGGGAGCTTTCCTCCTATAGAAATTCCTCCATATCTAACAAAGAGAACAGTATCATCAATCTGTTATATCATAGACCCAAAACTCTGTACATTGATGGAAAGGCTAAAAGCTCCTTTAATATAAGTTTCATTTATATACATGATGTAATTCATATATAACATTCTCCACTGCTTTTCTAACAAGCTGGATTAGGTCTTCATAATGTTTACAAATAATAAAAATCATATTGGTTTCCAAGGGATTCACGTTAGGATCCCGAGAAAATTATTATTCAGCTAGAATATGCAGATAAGTCATTTGCACACTGTAAAGTCTTTAGCTCAAAATAATTGACAGTCTTGTCTGGCTGTGGAACTACTCCTTTTTCTTAGGCATTATAATATGACTGTTTGGACAGCTACTTGATTCTCTACTGTTTTTTAAAGACTCATTAATACCTGAAGGAAGGCAGTCCTCCCACTGCTATCTCTGAAGTGAATTCCTCTGATGAAAAACCTAGATAAGTTTTTCAAGCTAATCAGTCATCTTTCTAAGCCTAATATTTGCACTGTAGACATCACATGGGGGGCTAGCTGACGCCGCTATATAAGCATAGAGCCCTGGTGGAGTCTGTTTACAACTACTGTAGACTTCTGGCATGGGGACGAGAAGCTATTGTTGTTACCTCTGCATATATGATAGGCTGGTGTCTGGGTTACTTCTTCCCCATCTCTTTTATTCGAAGGGTCATATATTTCTGCACTGCTTTGGACAGAGCCACATTAGAGCACTATTGCAATGTAGCACTCTATTGTATTGTAACTCTCCACCACTCGGATCCCATTAGTCAGACTCTTGCAGATAATAAAACTGTGATAGTTCCATTGTGTGCCTCTGGCCTTCACCCTTGCAGGAGTAGCCCAAACAAATATAACCCCTTGTCTTTGCAAAACCCTTGCTGACCCCCAACCTATTTCACACTGTAGCCATCTCTTTGTCTGTTCTGTGCTATCTGTTACAATTCCCCCGTCCATTCAGAGAAACATTGCGAGGCTCCACGGTTAAACAGAAATTCATTGTTTCTTTATTTACCACCGTAATCTGTGAATTGGTTTCTTACCTTTGTTCATTGACCCAGTATTTGCTCTTCAAGCTGAAACAGACAAAGAGAATCCTGTACCTTCATGCACTGAACCAACGTCAATGGTATTGTCTGGCTTAGATGGAAATTAAAGGTGAATTCCTATGCCTTGCAGACCTTGAGTTTCCCTAAGCGGTTTGAACATTTTTTACATACATATTGTTTCTGCTGATTGCTTGAAGTTGTGGGGTTGTCAGGACTTCTGGTATTCTCTGGAGTGGGTTTTTTCCTCCCCTTTTTTATTTTCTGATATGATTCATAATCATCTCAGAGGAGAACAAGATTTCTAGTCACACACACACTAGCTTTATCCTAAATCCATAATGAATTGATTGAAAAAGATGCATCTAAAGGAATTGTGGTATATCCTGAGAGTCAAAGGTGGCCAGCAGATAGCTAACATTATGAGAATTTCAATAGCTGGGCTGGAAACCAAAAGGGTAGTGAGACACGAATCAGAAATATTAGGCCACGGACACTGCATATCTCATTACCATGCAGGACACTCAGGCCAGCTCAGGAGCTAGCAGTTGGATAGCTATATCCGTGTAACATTGTCCCTGGGTTCTTTAGCACTTCTGGGAAGCAAGTGCTAATTAACTCAAGCAGATGGTCATGCTGGTGTGGCTATGTTTCCTCAGGCACTCCAGGTAGTATCTCTGCGAAGCAGTTCACCACCTCTTGTGAGTTCACAAGTTTTCTCACTGTTGACATTGTTACCTCTAACATGGCATGCCCTGTACATCAAAACTTAGATTTGCCAAAAAAAGTGTACCTGATTATACAGGTAGATATAGTGAAAACAATTTAACTCTCCTAAAAGAGATATCTCTTATTCTTATATCTGGAATATGGACATGATGGACTTGCTTATGTCTACACGATACTGTGACAAATTAGGTGCTATGTTATATCACATTGGTAATAAGAATTTCACGGATAGGCACAAAATGCCATTTGTGAAAAACCAGGAAAAGTTGATCCCTACCTCCCTTTTATCAGGGTGGGATATGTTTTCACTAGAAAATCTGAAATGTTTCTGTGGGTCAGATCTTGAAGAATTTCTGTGCTGCGCTGCACTCTCTGAAAGAGAAAGAGAACCCAAACAGTCACAGTAAACTTCACAATCTCTAAACTTATTAAGCAAGCATTTGTCAGGAAAACAGCACCACTAGCTTTGGGAATTGTATTATTCTTGGTGGACTTTGCTCAGGTTCATAGTATCATTGAAATCAGAGTGGGTCATTCATTTTCTAGCCAAAATATTCTTACTTCATTGAGATTCAAGAATAAATAATGAAATCACAGAAATCTATCATGCCTGACACAAAACAGTTGCAGTTCACTCTAAAACTTGGCCTGGGTTTATTCATAATAAAGGCCAAGCTTGCTCAAGGCTTTGTCTTAACTATGAAAGAGGAGGCTTTTCAAATACACTGAGGTCTTAGTGAAGATAAAGTTGTTCATAGTTTTCCAAACTTTAGCGGGTTGAAATAAAAATTCATGTTAAAAACTATAAACTTGGTCACCTTCACTAGCATGTTAGGTACTTTGAATGAAGAGTACTTTCTTTTTTGTAATGAAAATGAGGCCATAGGATGCTATGCCTTTGTGAGCCTCTTGCAAACACAGGGCTGCTGTGAAACTCAGAATTCTCTCAGAGATGCTGAGTTTATCCCATGATAGAATGTACTTATTAAGGCTCCATCTACAGCTTCAGAGGGTAAACCTTGCAACCTGAAAACAACCTCGTACACAGAAAATAAGGAACTTTCTGGAAGTGCCTATATTTGTCCACAGGGAGGCAGTACTAGCTGACATAGAAGAAATATATTACAGGTGTCTAGCAGATTCTAGACGATCCACAGGAAGATTGGTAGCATCTTCACAGTGCCTTCATTAAATGAGCTGTCCATGCCTAGACACACTTCACAATTATTTTCATATTGTCCTTTCCCTAGAGGATCAAATATGACCTGTATCTTTATGGCAAGTTAGACAAAATGATCGTATCCTGCAAAAGGATCAGGATAATATGTTACTATAAATAATTCACCTCTCTCAGAGGACTAGAAAACCTGCAAAATAAAATAAATAATTTTGTATCATACTTGGTAGGATTTATTCATTTTTTATTTTGGTTCATAGCCTGGTATTCTATAGATATTTGAAACAAATTTGCTTTGGTATTTTGTGAATAGTGACAGAGAAATCAAAGCAAACTGAATCTGTATTTTTAAAAGACCATGTCACGGATTTGGATATAGAAATCAATTAACCTTGTGACATTGTTGTAAAAATAATGATTATTTTAATAAGTCACTTAACTAATGTGTGTAGCCTGGCAAAGAGTAACATTAAAGTTGAACAGTGTGCATGGTAAGGTATTAAAACAGTGAGCTACTGTTCTGAGTGCAGCTGCAGTTCCGTTTTCTTTAACTTGTTAGAAAAACATTTAGAAAATGTAAACACTGACAAGCTATAATTTTCCCTTGCTTTACAAAAGAGCAAGCACATTTTACAATAAGCACTACTAAGGCTATTCACTGATAGGAACAAGTGGGAATGTAGCTCTCATCTCTTTTACATACAGCATTAACAGTTATTAAATTACTCATCATGCATATGCACACAAACAAGCATTTCTTTAGCTAGCTTAGTATTTTATTTCTAGAAATGAAATCGTATAAGAAATATAAAAAAAATTATTTTGGGCTGACTCAACTTTAATTTTTCCATTTTTCAATGAAATGACCCCACCTCCAAATAATGATTTTTGGTTTTTTTAAGAATCTCAGTTTGGGGGTAATTTTCTAAACAAAATTATTCTTTTGAGGCAAAAAATTAAGATGCCTTCTCTAAAAGTTATCTGATGAACTGTTATGATTTCAACGAATTTTTTCTATAAGAAAATTTTGAAATTTGGATGAAAATATTCACGAAATTTAATTTAAATGTGCAAGCTTCTTCAGAACCTCTGAAACGGAACTTTAAATTGCAACAACTCCTGCTCCCTTTAAAAAACATACCCTGTTCCTGTATGTATATTGGCCTAGCAAAGTATCAATATACTAATCTCTTTTCCATTACTGACCATGAGAGGGTTTTTTTTTCTTTTTGTTTTCCTTTTTTACAAAGGTCTGCAACACAGGAACATTACCTGTGGTGGTGGGAGGCCTCCTGCTCCTGCAGGGCACTCTGGCAGCATAGTGAGTTTCTTGTGAGTGCTGCACTTGCAGGAAGGTGAAGGATTCTCAGGACTCCACTTGTAGCTTAGCAAGAGGCTGCTTAAGTTAGGATGAATAGCGGGTGTACTCCAGGCAGTTGGTGTATTAGTGCATGGGTAGTTCCTGTGCAGAGAAACATAGTATTTCAGCTGTGCAGAGATATAGTTCAGGAGAGCTCATAAATCCACGAAATCACAGTGGTCTCACCAAAAATTCTCTTCTCAGCCCTTATCCCGTGAGTTATGAATAATCAGAAGAACATTTTAGAGCACTTGTTAAAATATCATCACCCCTTCTCTCACCCCACTGCTGCCCAGGTTATTGTCTCCAGTTTGCAGATGGAAAACTGAGGGAACAAGCGGAATGTGTCTGACCCACTAATACACATCAAATCTGCAGCAGACATATCTTAGATGGGAGACCATTCTTTTCTTTGCTCCCTGCTCATTCAGTATCTTTTCTCTCTTGTTTTTTAAAGTTTTCTCTTGGTTCCTCCTGCACTACGTGAAAGAGAGGAAGGGGAAGACAAGAGAGGACAGAGAAGAATCAAGTTGATGGATATCATGACTTGGAGGAACACGTGGCAGAACACAGCGCGCCCAGTCATAAAAGCCTCCAAAGCAGGCCTCAGGCAGAGAAAGTGGGTAGGACAACAGATGTTACATTAAGAGCTCTATTGACGCCCTTGCTTCAGAGTGAGGATAGCTCCAAATCATAGAGACTGCCCTATTGCCACTTCACCATCTGAGCAATTGCTGAAACTATTCCTTCAAATTTTATCACTAGGAAGAGAAATTACCAAAGGAGACTCGCTTGTGACACGTGCCAGGGAAAGTGCGAAGATTCGGGTCTGATCTCATTGGCCTACTAACACACGTTCCAAGTTTGCTTAATTCCTAATACGAGGCCATATGAGCCAGCTTCTGGCTATTGACATCTGATACTGTGACTCACTCTTAATCCAGTAGTATTGTTTTCTTGCTGTTTACTTTCATTTTTGACCCAGAAAGGTTATTGCTAATGACAAATTTGAAGCATGGGTTCCAGTGAAAAGTCTAGCCAACTCTTTCTTGTTTCCCTACTCAGATTCTACTAGCAATATCCTGCTGGAGTCTAGTTCAAGGGAGATTAGCTAGCAACTTACGGAAGAGGCTGATTCTTCATGCAGCGATTTCCAAATCCTGGTTTATTCAAGAAAGCATCAGTGAGGGATACCATCTGCTCACTGCCAGGCTGTTCATTGCTAAGGGAATAGGATAAAATTTTCTCTATAAAATGATTTTAAACTACTGTAATGGAATACACATAAGCAAATAGTGAAGGACAACCATATGCCAGAACTACCTGCTCCCCTCCAAGTGCAGATAATTGATTTATTTTAGTAAGGAAAGGCATGCAGACTCCCCCAACCTTCCAAGATGGTTAATGGGCTAAAGCAATAGCATTACTTCTAACATGCCCCTACAGCACTATTCTCCAAAAAGGCTTGAACCTGCATCTCTGCACTCAGCCATGTCACACTCATTACTGAGAGGACAAAAAACATATTCTACATTTTCATTTGCTGGGGCCAAAAAGACACGCTAATAATAGCGATGAAGTTTCTGCAGCCAACAGTCTAATAACAATAGACTACTGAATGTTGTTAGCACCAGGTGTTACACAGACATGAATATCAAACTCTGCTTCACACATTAGCATATGTAAATTAATTTCAATTTTCATGTGAATTTTCAATGTGAAACTCAGGAAAAATGCTTCAAAATTATTGTAGTCTTCAGTTTTGTTGCTTTCTGCTACTTGCAGTCTAGTCTAGGGTTTAATTATTGCTTGTAAAGTTCCTCTGCATTGCACCATGTTTTGGCTTGGTGCACGTTCAGCTTAGGAATGGATATAAGTGAAGGGGAAGCAAGTGCCTAGGACAGCAGCACAGAGGACTTATACAGTGATCTGGACAGAACAGAGTTGAAGCTTCTGTGAGGAATGAAAGGAGAGACGGTGCTAGTAGATAATAAAATTTAGACCCAGCCAAACCAAAGGGTGGGGAGAAACAGCTGAGCAGCAACATTAATAAAACCTAAGTGTTTTTGTTTTCATCTTTTTTCTATAATTATGCCCAAATGTTGTACGAAGTATAAACTTCGTCAGCAGATAGGTTTGAACCTCATAGTTTGCTAAGATTTTGAATAAAGGAGTAGCTCAGTGGCATATCCAAAACATTCAGATTTCTTACTGTTTTGGATCTACAGTTAGACAGAATATAAACATTTATAAGTGACGAGGTCATGAATTCAAGTTGGAAGAGGAGAGTATCAAAGATAGCATATGTTTGAGGACTATCATTTAGACATACTAGCCACTGTATTCCCCACTCGCACCAGTTTCAGGCTCTTTTATGTCTGCTGATTCCAGTGGAGTTGCATCTTTTTTATACCAGTTAGAATGAGATGTAAAGTGATTCAGTGAGACAGTGATTATTTGACACAGTGATTCCTCTCACCTGAAGAAAGTAAACTGTTGTCCATAGATCCAAGGGTGTAAGGTTAAGGAGGGATATTCTCCAAATGGGGGAATAATGACTGTAAGTATTAAAGACAGCAACACAAAACTAGCAGGGAGAACAACCTGCAGGAACATGAAAACATCACACTAAATTAAATATATGCTCTACATTGACACCGTACACAGCTCAGAATATACATAAACAAAGGAGGGACAGTAGGAGCGCATGGATCAGACACTGTTTACCTTCCAAACGCCAACTATTTAATTTTGAATGCTTTCACTTAAGATTCTGGTTGTTGCTGAGCTGTATTGTGTTAAAAACAAAACCCTGGGCTAAGAGTGACTGAATCATGAACGTGGTGAGGGTGACAGACTCTTAGCAGAAGGAAAGAATAAAAGGCAGATGAGCTGGTACCAGAATTAGAGCAGCCTTCATAAGAACACTGTTACCCATTAGCAGCACTTCTGTTGCTTTGCATAGGGATGCTGTTAGGAAAGATAGTGTTGAGAACATTGTAGGAAAGAGTCAAAGACAGCAAAGTGAGTCAATACCTGGGACAGGAAGTCCTTGTGGCTGCGGGTAGCATGATGGAACCGTTTGATGAGCAGTGCTTTGATCTGCTGAAGTACAAGCTGAAAACCTTTATACTGCCAGGACCCTTTACCTTCATTTCCATCTCCTGCTATGCCTACCGGCATTGGAGAAGTATCATTGGTTTCTAGTGGGGTTTGTTCAGCTGTCTTGTTCTCAGTAGACATTTTGCCCAGAGTAGAACTGTTTACTTGAGCACCTCCTACATTAAGAAACGTAGTTAATAATAGGAATTGTCCTGATGAAAATGGGCTGAGAAGACACTTTATCCTCTATACATGAAGGCAGTACAAGCATTTTAATGAGCTCCAAATTTTACCACATGTATACGTTGTATCACACATTGCTTTAATTACAACTGTTGAGGTATTATAACTGTATGCATCATGTAGGTAGTATTCCTCTTACTCAGCAGGACAAACAAGTTAATCATATATGTAGTTCATGGACTGATGGTCAGCAAAGCATTTCATACTCAAACTACTAAAACCATTGACACACTGGAGTCTCAACACTCCATTTCTATTTACAGAGTTAAGAATCTGACCCAATCCACACAAAAATCTCTCTGCTGACTTCAGCTGTTTTCTCAGATATCATGACAGGCCCTAAAAATAGACATTTGCTGACAAAGTGTGTTTCGACAAGAACACCATACAAGGACTGACATTCTCACATTCTTCTTTACTAGTCATTCAGAACACAGAACAGCCCCAGGAAAAATCTGTCAAATATTCATGGATCTCTACCTGCTTTTTGCATTCCAGGGTCAGCTTGTGCTGTGACCTTTAGGAAAACCTGCCATAGACAAACACATTGCCACATTAGGAACGGTACAGTTGCTGACTTCTGGAACTCTATGTACTATCCTTTAATGTGACACTTTAGAAGCAGTTGTAGACACTTTTTCAGTAATCCTGCTTCTTATATAACCAGAGGTCTCTTATGAAACATCTCAGAAAAAGAAAGGAGTAAAGATACAAAGACAGACAGATTTCAGGATAATGAGTCATGTTCTATAAGGCTAACAGGCAGTCAGCCTTGAATCCTTTCTCTGTGCCCATCCCAATGACTTTGGCCGTGTCACAGCAAATGTGACTAGGTTTTGCTGGGCATGTTAGGAATGAGTAAGCTTCCACACTTAAGAACAGGAATACTCTCAGAAAACATTTTGGGGACTGATGGCAAAATCAGCAAATATTTTGATGCCTGTTACCTCTTCAAGTGGCGTATCTGAAACTCCAAAGCTGCTGAGTCCCAGGTCATCCAATGTTTCTTCCAGTTCTCTGAAGAGACTGGCATAAGATCGCTGCTTAAAGTGTTTATTGGGCAAAAGGTAAATGAGTTCCTGACCAATGCTTTCAATTAATTTTGCTTCTGGGATATGATGATGAATTATTTCTGCTAGCTCATTCAGATCTCCTGTGAAAAGTCAAAACAGTGTTCAAAGAACCACGTCAGAAATTATTTCAAAAGCTGTTTTTTGTGCTGTACAAAATGGGACTGTTTTATTACACGACTCATAGATACCTCAGTTAATTTTCTACTAGACTTCACCATGTTGTTAGTTATGGCTCTGGAACTATGTAGCAGGAAACTATTTGAGGTCAGTTAGCAAAGCAATAACAAATCTTCAGGAACATCTACTTAAGTTCTTCTTTTGGGTAGAAAGGCCAAAAAGACTTTTTCTGAGAGAACCAGTTTCTTTTGCTCTAGATACACTTCAATTTTCATTACCAAATTGCATATCTGGTGCAGAAGAGTTCAAAACTTGGTCTATACTTAAGATGTCCCCAAGCTTCCAGTTCAGTATCTGTACCTGATATCACATACACATCAAAAAGGGGGAATGATAAGCAAAAGCCCAAAGAAACCTTACAAAATTAATGTTACAATATAATATAGGTATCAGAGACAAGTGCTGGAAAAGGGGGCCTCGGCAGCAGTGATGTGTAAGATGAAAGCACAGCACAACAGGATACATAGCTATGTGCTAGAATGCCAAACCATCCCACTTCTTACCATCCAGTTCCTGCTCTGGAGCACCTTCTTTGTCCCTGCGCGTACAGCTGGAGCAGGAACAGGAGCACTGAGATCCACAGCTACAGAGGGACTAGCATGGACAAGCAACAGACACAAAGATGAAAGCGCTTCAGATGCGTGCAAAGCAGGATGTAAGGGCTATCAGCCTTTGAACATCTTGTGTCAGTGAAAAATGTCATATCTGAAGCATCTTGAACATACTACCCTGAGATTCAAAGTCATCCAAGGACTGGATTAAGCAGTGCAGAAAACATAAATCGATCTGCACAAAGTACATCTATCCATTCTAAGTGACACGCAAATAGCTAGGGAAACCCATATACAGATCATATTCCTGCTAAAACTGAAAGTGCCACCAGCAGCAGAAACACTCTAGATCCCTAATTCTCAAGCTGTGGGAGGCTGGTTTAGCTATGGATAAATACAGACTCTCCCAGTTTCTGAGCTAGTTACTAGAGAAAAACACGTTTACATACAGAGTACTGCAAAAACGAGCATCAGAAAGACCCACGTATGGACAAAGGCAACTTGGTACATAAATGTTTAGGCAATACTTGGCAGAACAGAATGAGCTATAGACCACTGAAGGCTTCATGTCCACTTATTGTTTTCACCTGTCCTGATGAATACAAACTTATAAAGTCAGTGATTTGTTACAGAGATTCTCATGTAGCCATATATAATTTCATGAGGCGTCAATTTTTGTCATTGCTTTCTTCATTTTGAAGTCAGTTTTGTCCACAGCCACAAGCAGCACTCGTTTTCTTTCTGCCTTGGTACAGCACATGAATATACATAAGTATTTTTCAGATTACTTGTACAGGGAGGGAACAGCATACTTACCGCATCCCTTCTACTTCCAGCATTTTTCATCTTGCGAACAAGGGTGAGATAGAAGCCAGATCCAAAGCAGTTCTTTAGGAAAACAGGAGAGCCTGAGCAAAAGAGTTTCCCTTGGGATATGATGGCTACTCTGTCTCCAAGGATGTCTGCCTCATCCATATGATGGGTTGATAGGATGATAGTTCTGCCTAGGAGAAGGAACAAGAAGGACTGTTCAAGGCATGGACCCTCTCCGGAACTCAGAGCTGTGCATAGTTTGTGGCAGTTAATGCAGGGTTTTCTCAGCAACAGAGTCAGGTCTCAAGTTTGTCTGCTCCACAGGTGTCTGCTCAGAGAATCTTGTTTGCATATGTTCATATTATCCCAGCAGTTGACCATTTATGCAGCAGGCATGTGCCGTACCTACAACAGGTTTTAAAAACATCCAGTTGCCTCCCTCAAACCTGTTACCTGAGCGATACTTCAGCAGAAGATCCCAGATAGATCGCCTGGAATACGGATCAACTCCAGAAGTGGGCTCATCCAAGACTACCACTTTTGCTTCACCAACAAAGGCAACGGCAACAGACAGTTTCCTTTGCATTCCACCTACCAGAGGACAGGGACACATCCGAGAGTCTGAGATGAGAGCTGCATACACGTCAGGACTGTAATTAACTCAGCTCTTCAGAGGGGGAACAAACTGATCCAAGTAAAATAAAAACCATCCTTGACCAGAAATTTATTTGCAAAGTTTAATAACCACTTTTTATAAAGTTCAGAAGTTTGCTCCTTTTTATTTTTATTATTATTATTTGTAGAATGCTTCACGTATGTGCTGCATTTTCCGGTTCTGGCCAGAAGCAATAGCAGGGGATGTAGGATTTTTCATAGTCTCATGTTAAATTGGCCAACTTTTACAGTTGCAAGCAGGACAAAGAAGTATAACAACTCCTGGGTGTTTATGCAAATCAGCTTTTGAATCTGAACGTGCACAGGTGTCCATTATTAATATGCCTTTGCAAATACACTACATGCCATTTTGCTTTTAGAGTTAAAGGAATTGTCCCTAACAAGTAACACAGTATTCCAGAGCATTCATCCAAATAGTGGAGCAGCATGATGGTACAATATTTCATTTAGCCTGAAAGAACAGAACATTGTATTTTGTTTTTTCTTATACTGACAGATGTATAGCCTTATTAAGGATGCCTTTGACAGTAAAGGCCTCCCTCGGGGCACAGTGAGGTGGCAGGATATGATCCCACAGAACTCAGAAGATAATTGCCCAAAGAAAAAGAAGAGTCAGCAGAGAAAATTCTGAGAACCCCCTGAGCACCTGACAAATTTTGAGCCTCTTCATTCCTTTTATGAGTGAGGCCCAAGTCTTCCAGCATCATTTCCAGCTCTTGCTCAGCTTCATTCCTGGATCTCCCTTTCATTTGGGCATAAAACAAGATGTGCTCTGCTACAGTGAGGCTGTGAAATCAAATAGAAAGGCATCGAGCCAGATTAAACGAACAAGCAGACTTCTTCCCAAACAGCAATAATTTCACATTAGCTTTATCTTACTGGAGGAGGTGGACTGCTTTATGCTGAGTCTGGATCATAGATACTCTTCTGGATCAACTTACCTTATGAGATGTCACAGGCTCTTCCTCTGCCTTTTCAAAGCAGAACCCGCTACCAAAAGAACAGGTATAGTAGGTGTCAAACCAGCCATTTAAAAATGGGAGTAAATGGGGTGCAAAATGGGAGCTAATGTGGGCAGCTGCATTGATGAAGAGAGGCTGCTGTTGGGATGAATGCAAACTGATGGCAGTGAAGCTGGAAAACACCTCAGAAGGTGGTCAATGCTTAGGTGGTAGTGCAGCATGGGCACAAAAGTATCCCCTACTGCACTGTGGGCCCAGATTTTTATAGGAAAAGAAGTGGCCTAAATTATAGTCCATGAATCCCCAGGCTGAAGTCTTACAATACTCTAAACTGCAAGAGGAAACATTAGTGCCAACAACAGTATCATTTTCTTTGGAAACCTCTTTGTTCCCAACTAAATGAAGCAGGAGAACAAGAAATTCTGCTGGAGTAGGACATACCTATCCTATGGGAACACTAAGAGCTGGAAGAGGGCTTCTGTGATATATCCACCGCCAACACACCGAGAGAAACAACATAGGTTTGGGGATACACCAAGCATGCAGACTAGGACCCTTGCTCTTAAAGCTAGTATGGAGTAATACTTACTGATTGAATAAGATGTTGTACTGAGGGCACATGCCTAATCTCTGCCGAATGGAGTTCATGTGAGTTTGAATATCCAGTCCGCCAATTAGCACAGTTCCAGAGGTTGGTGGGAACAGGCCTGTCAGTATCGAACTGGAAAAATTAAATGAGCAAATTCCCAATCACCCGTGATGATAGATCAGGAAGATTCCTTGCATGATTCCACTAGGTGGAGCATAGAGACTTCTTACTATGGGGCTTGATGAAACCACTCAAGTGGAAACCATACATATAAACTACTTTTGCCCTGCTAATATGTAACTTTTGGTATGACCTGTCTGTACGGTCCTGGCCTGTGTTAGAAAACTGTTTCAGTCAGCCTGGTTTAAGCAAACTTCTCCGAGTAGTTTGTTAAGCATGTTACCCCACCCCTACCTACCCAGGGTCTACAATTAAATTCACTGGGACCAAAATGCAGAGTAACTGCTTGAGGTCTGAATCCACGGTGACCGAGTCATGCTCTACACCTTTATCTGCTGCAAAGTGGAAGGAGGCAGAACATTACCTTGCAAATAGGTGGAACTTGTCACTAGACTTGGGTGAAAAACGGATTTTTCAGTTCTGGAAATTTCAAAGCAATAGCATTTTTTAATTTGTGGACTAGAAAAGAAATTTACAAAAATTTCAGCAGATTGCAATATTTTTGTTTTGGGTCAAATATCGTTCCTGTGCAACAATTTAAAACACATTATAAATGGCATTTGAAATAAAAAGTCTTTTTTGATTTAGAAACTTCATTTCTAGTTAAACAGTTTAGAAGCTTTTCAACTGGGAAACATCATAGTGACAAACATCAGTTCTTTCAATATTTAGTGGAATTGTTACAAACTCATGAAAAGTTTTGTTCACCAGTGAATCCTACTTTGTCAAATACAGTTTTTGATAAAAAACTCTCCATGTTTTGTATAAAGAAAACTAAACATTCCTAAATCTTGGCTTCCTGAGACTTTAGTGTTGTAGGAACATTTTAGCAACATTTTAATCTGGGTGTGGATCTTGCATATATGTAATTATTTTATCTAAACAGCATCACACAGCAGTTGGGGCTATATTTCGTACTTTGTGCACAGGCCAGGAAACATGACCGACTCACAGCTAGTCAGACAGAGAAATCAAGAGTATATAGGCTTTGCTGGCTTTCGTATCTTCATCTCTTTCAGCCAGAAATTCTCCTCCCACTTCACTCTGTTGGGAGTTTGACCATGGAAACTGTATTTTTGGGGAGAGAATTGCTTCCTCCTTGCTAAACTTTATACTTTCACTAGTTAGTGTTATGCATTTCCTTTCTCCTAGGGCTTTAGTTAGTCCAGGATATCTTCTTTTTGCATAGGGTCAGCGTTTCCTTGTCTGGAAAAAACTTGATGTCATGCGTCAAACTAGCTGCAGAGGTGGTAGAGCGATAAGGGAAGAGTGAAGAGAGCAGATCTCAGGATAGAGCAATAGGGCACTGCCCTGGCTTTGCTTCTTCTAAAAGACAGACTTACATGGTGGTAGTCTTTCCTGCTCCATTGTGACCAAGGAAGGCTGTGATCTGGCCCTCGTAAAAAGTCATATTCATCCCATCTACTGCTGGCTTGGGCCTGTTCGCAAAAATCTTCACCAGGTTGTCAACGCACACTCCTGGAATCAGTCCTGTTGGCTCAGGCTCGAAGAAGGTATTTACTTGAAAGGCAAGAAATCAAGAATGAAAAAAGAATAAAAGGCCATGTGTTGATTCCAGCTTTCAAAATGACTCATCATTAAGGGCTGAGACAATGGCACAGTCCCAGTAAAATACAGCACTATGTGCCAGGGCCAGATTCTCCAGTCACACCAGTATTAAACTGAGGCAAGACTACTAACTGCAGAGCAATTTATCCAGACTTACCATGCTATCACTGAAAGGAGAAACAGAGCTCAGAATTGTAATGGTATGTGGAGAGGTAACCCACTGGATCAGGTGAAGTTAACATGCTTCCTGGTTTTGTCGTATAGGAGAGTGATTATTTTGGGACTGCTGTCTGTAAATAATCAGATGGGCTGAGAGATTACATTAAACAAGCAGCAGGTTGCCTTTCCAGTCATGCTGAAATCTGCCATTCAAATCATCTGCCCAGCTGTGCATTCTTTTAACATGATGCTTTAAAAAAAATAACATTTGCCTTTAATCTTAGTAGGTGAAATATACTCCCTTGCTGAGGCCAGCTCAAGACGTAGGCAGCACCTAGCATGAGCTCTACATGGAATGGCTTTCTCTCAGGATTAAAAATGCATTATTTTATATATCACCATCAGGATATTTTATTGCATCAGCTTCTAGACAAAACAAACTGCCTTTGAACTAAATGAAGCCCTTGGGCAATGTGAATTATGCGGGTTGAGAAATTTAAGCTACAGACCCTGTCCACTGTTGTTCATACAAAATGCTTAAGGCTTTGTAGGGTGGCTTGTTTTGCAAATGCAGTCTACTTAATTGTTCAGCACCCAGCAGGCCTGTGTGGAAAGCAGCAAATACCATCTGGGTGAAAACAGCCCCTCCTCCATCAGTGGCTGGTATGACTGTCATTAAAAACAACACCAGGGAAAACGTCCCAAGTATGTTGCATATGAGAAAGCTGCACATACCACAGTGCAACTGAAACCACCAGTCTAGACTGGACAGCTTTATTTTAAATGCAATGATGTTTATGATAGACTTTTCTTTTGCTTTGTGAAGTAATCTCAATTTCCTTGCACCTCAGTGGACCAAATACAACTTCCCTGAATTCACAAAAGTTGAGATGGAACCTGGCTAGGTACTTCTGCACATATGGGAAATTGAGGTACCACCCTGGTTCTTAGGCTCTGTGCCTTGAGTTCAGTTCTCATTTGCCTGCAAGGCTTACTGACGCATTCTGAGGCGTATGCTCCGATAGTCTCCTGTAGTACCTGCTTTGCATCACTTGCATGGCACAGGTAGAGGGGTGAGTTCCCTTCTTTGTGGTGATCCATGTTTCTATTCTGATGCTATTCTTTCCATGCAGCTTTGGGACATTCAGGTCATTCTTCAGAGGTGGCAGCATTTGTCGGGGATATGGATGTGGGCTTTGAGGAAAGCTCTGCTTAAAGCATAGCAAGCAGTTAGGACAGATTTATAGTGTTTCTGCTCTGGGCTAGCCCCGGACTGCCCTGGAGTTAAGCCCTTAGAACCAGTCTCCAGTTCCCATCCCACTCACTGGGGCCAGCTCTTACATGAAGCCATTTTGGTAATTTGGTCCTTGAGCTACATCAGGTCTACTCTCGGCTTCTCCATACGCCTGCAGTTCTTGTGTGGCTTGTTGAAAGGGAAGGTAAGCTTTTTTTCGTGCAGTGACAGGTAAAGCCCTGCCTCTGTGGTCATGGAGCAGCTGGAACTTGGGAGCTGATGAGCACAGCATCACAAAGATAAGGCAGGGCTATGAGAAGATTGGCTAAAGTAACCTTTGCCCCCTGCTTGTCTTGTTTCTTTTGAAGTCCTGTCCTGCTTCCATTCACCCTGAATGCATGTTTTCAGTGCCTACGTGAGGAGCTCTGATGACCCTACTTTTATCTCCAGCTTTTCAAAAGATTCAGAGCGAGCCCACAGCTGTCTGAAGCTGCTTTTGCTACAGAATCCACATGCATTCCTCTGAGCATCGCATGCAGAAAATTCTTCTGGCTCCCCACAGAAGGCGACACTGGCACTTAGATGGTGTCTAATGGCAGCATCAAAAAAGGCTGCAGACATACACACAGAACACTTCAGATAAATCCCTTTGAAACCAGCCTTT